TACTACGAGTTAGATCTAAGTTTTGACTGTGAAACCTAAATCCTGGGGCATCTAAACGCTGAAGACTTCCTCACAGTGGCGCAAAACCAATTCCATCAGCACGTACCCAACTATCTCCCCACGAATCTGGCCCCTTCGCGTGATCTCCCCACCTCCTTCAACATCAGTGGCTCTCAAGTCATGATGAAAATCAAAATACCTGTTGATGTTCAAATATGACACAATACCATGTGCGGCTGCGTGTGGTGATCAGACTCTCCTTATCTATCGGAGTTGGTCGGCCTCACCGGTCTCATGTTCTTCTGTCCGGGATAGAGTATAGCACCATCTTGCACCAATTGAATACAAGGGAGCTTCAGAGTTAGGGATACTAGTGTGATGCCTGCCAACAACTCTCTAATGCTCAAGTCAGTATTCTGCTTGAGAGCAATAAATGAGTTGACAGAGTTAGATAGAGAAAATGTACATACCTCAATAAATGACCTTAGGAGGAATTTAGTGGATGTTTAATTGGTAGATTCGTACCATGATTTGAATCATGATTCGTGGTTCACTACAGTGTTTTCTCTCACAAAAATACACGTAAACTGAGAATGATTCTGAATTTATGAACCAAACGTCCACTTATAGTTTGCTGTTGAAACCGGGTCAAACTTGAAACCCGTGGGGCCCTTATTAGGACTGTGTATAGGTGTCATTGATCCACACCAGTCGTGCTGGTTGTCCAAATTGAGGGTGGAGATGATTTCTAACTGGAGATAATGTACAAAATCCCTTTCCCTTCACGTTTTCACGGTGTATGGCTAAGGAATGGTCGTGCCGGGCTCCTACTAATCCGGTGACGCCGGTGAACAGGATAGGAGGTTTTGCTAAGCTGTTCGGCATAGCTGACAAATGTTGTTCGACATCTACAACTGTTCGGCATAGTGACGGGCGAAAAGGAGATCGGCGAACTAGTGCTGATCAGACCACCAACAGCAGCGCCCAGTATGCCTGGCCGACTTGTCAGATAGGCGTGCTCTAGCTGATCAGAGCTGGTCGGCCTCACCGGTCTCATGTTCTTCCGTTCGAGAACGAGTAGCACCATCCTGCACCAATTGGATACAAGGGAGCTTCAGAGTTAGGGACACCAGTGTGGTGCTTGCCAACAGCTCTCTAATGTTCAAGTCAGTATTCTGCTCGAGAGCAATAAATGAGTTGGCAGAGTTAAATAGAGAAAATGTCCATACCTCAATAAATGACCTTAGGAGGAATTTAGCGTGCGTTTAATTGGTAGATTCGTATCATGATTTGAATCATGGTTTGTAATTAATTGCAGTATTTTTTCTCACAAAAACACACGTAAATCGAGAATGGTTCTGAATAATGATTCTAAATCTATGAACCAAACTTCCACTTATAGTTTTCTGTTGAACCCGGGTCAAACCTAAAACCCGTGGGGCCCTCGTGTATGGTCGTACAGTCCTATTAGGATCGTGTATAGGTGTCATTGATCCACACCGATCGTACTGGTTGTCCAAATGGAGGGTGGAAATGATTTCTAACTGGAGATCATGTACAAAATCCCTTTCCCTTCACGTTTTCCATGGTGTAGGGCCAAGGAATGGTCGTGCCGGGCTCCTACTAGTCCAGTGACGCCGGTGAACAGGATAGGAGGTTTGGCTAAGTTGTTTGGCATAGCTGACAAATGTTGTTCGACATCTACAACTGTTCGGCATAGTGACGGGCAGAAAGGAGATCGGATAAATCTGAAGACGAGGGTTTGCCCTTGTGTTTTACACTAATGGGGATCATGCTTTTTTCCCCAAGGCCATTTTTGTTGGCTTATTGGAAGATCAGAAAATATAAATAAAAAAGGTCGTCAAAAAATGACTTTTCTTTGATTAATCGTTTGGGCCCTTTTATCGGCCGTATAGTGTCTATTTTAATTATTATTTTTTTATTTTCCTTCTTTTTTCCACCTATCTTTTTTATTTTTACGTTTCTCTCCTCCACATTTAGCCAAATTCTTTTTACGTGAAATGTTTCTTTTTTATTTTCCTTGTTTCTTTTCCCGTCTGTATAGTGTCTATTTTAATTATTTTTTTAATTTTCCTTCCTTTTTCTATCTATCATTTTTATTTTTATCTTGACCTTTTTTCATTCTTATCATTTTATCTTATTATACATTATTTTTTTCCCCCAAATACGACCTTAATAAATATCTTTTTATTTTTACGTTTCTCTCCTCCACATTTAGCCAACTTTTTTTTTAACGTGAAATGTTTCTTTTTTTCTTTTTTATTTTCCTTGTTTCTTTTCCCGATTTTGTTTTTTTATCCTCACATTTTTTCTATCTTTCTTTGAAATTTTTTATTATTTTCAGCTGTAGTTTACGTTTTTTCTATTTTTTCCCAACAATTTGTATAAGAATTATTTTAAAACAAACTAGTTGTAAAAAAATTTATGCAGACAAATTCGTCCTATTTTAATAAAAACATTGATTTAATTGATTTGTACATGATTTAACTGGTTTGTATGTATAATAGATATTTTTTTATATTGACCTCTTTTTAAATAAAAGTAATAGTTTAACTTATTTGTATATGATTAAATTAGTTTTAGATCATAATGTTAATTTTTATGTTATATTGACACCAAAAGATATTCAATATTTTTTAATTTGTACTCTAATACATTATAAAGTTGTTCTTTTGCAACGAAACTAAAAAAAAATTTGAATTCGAGTTACAACTTTATTAAAATTCATGTTTTTTTGTAAAATTTGAGTTTGAACTCGAGTTTAAACTCGAGTTTGGGGCTATTTTATCTTGTTTATTTTTCATTCTCCTTCAACTCGAGTTCATAAACTCGAACTCAAGTTAATGAACAATATTTTTTTTATTCTTAAAAATGCCATAATTTTTTCATTTTAATTTTGATTGAGGTGATTTTTTTTCTATGCATTCACAACGAAAAGACGAATAAAACCTCACCTATATACCATATTAAAAATTTTCATCACCATTGAGTTTTTATTAAAATACTATCTAAATACAAATTTAAGTTTTGACACACCCAAACACAAACTCAAAAAGATTCTCAATTCAAATCATAACTCAAATGTGTATATACAAACACAAACTCAAGTTACAACTTCAACTCAAGTTATAACTCAAAATCATCACTCAAATCACCATAGCTCAAAAATGCAAAAGAAGAACCTCTATGTTATTTCAAATACAACTACTTTTTTGTCATAATCATTAAACTTTATAAAAATAAATTTTTAATTTTAAAATAACTTAAAAATGTCAATGTTGTATAGTTGTAGGCATAGTTTGGTGGTAATTCTACACCTCTACTACACTGGTGACGTGTTCGAATACTCCACCTCCAAATGCAAAAAAATAAAAAATAAAAATAAAAAAATAAAAAAAAATAAAAAATGCCAATGTCCTAATGACTATGCAAAAAGGTTAATACAACAATCAATAGCAATTAAGGTATCTCTATAAAATTTATGACCGAAGATAACTTTATTATAAAATCGTAACTCATACATGAACACAACTAACCCAACAAGGCCCTAGACCTATGTTCCTTCTTCGAGCCTGTTTGGTTCATAAATTAGAATCACGAGATTATAACTATTTTCGATTTACGTGTATTTTTTATGAGAGAAAATACTGTAGCGAATCATGAACCATGATTCGAATCAGAGAACGAATCCTCCAACCAAACGGGTTCTTTGTTCCCTAGTAAATGGTGTATTAGCATGCCACGTAATTTAAAAAATTTGAAAATTTTTCTAATTTTTTTGGAAAGGAAAAATTTTTCTAATTAACATCACCATCATGCTTATTAATTAAATGACAAGAAAAAATAATATTTTCAGCAAAAAAAAGCGTTTGCAATTAATAATGTGGTAGATTTTAGGTGTAGTAGTTTTAATAATTATGGCTAAACAATTATTGAAGAGTAAATTAAAAAAGAGAAAGACGAGTAGGTAAAATTAAAATTAAAAAATAATTCAAATGTCAAGATTTAATTGAATGAGTATACTGCATAAACATTATGATATAGTACATTACTCAATAATTTCTTTGAAAAAATACTGAAAATTGGACAGTTGACCTGAATATTTTTGGCAACTTTGCAAAACCTATTTACATTTTTTTTCTTTTGTGATTGTGAATTTTTTTTTGTCCTTTTATAGTCATATATTAGTGGACGTTTAGTTTATTAATTTAAAATTTTTTATTTTACATGTATTTTTTATAAAAAAAATACTATAAAAAATTATAAATCATAATTTAAAATACATATAAACATCCCGTTAAATTCTCTATCGATCATTAATCAATATTTCTCTCTTTTGAAAAAAATAAAGAAAAGAAAAACCACAAATGAGATACACGTGTAGGGCACAAAATGCCACTCGCGTGTGAGTCTATCTTCACCACTTGGAAAATAAAAAAATAACAAAAATAAAAAAGGAAAAATTAATAAAGTTGGACGCGTAGTGTCAGCGTGGCGGGGAAAAAACAAAAATAAAAAAGTATTTTTTTCTTTCCTTTTTTTTTCCCTAATTTTTTTTTTCTATTTTCTATTGATTCTTTTTTTAAATTCTCTCTCTAAGTCCTCAACTGCCTAAAGTGCCAACCCACAAGCATTTCTTCTCTCTCTCTCTACAGTTCGATTGCTGAAAAAGGAAAAGGTTTCTCTCTCTCTCTATATATATATATATATATATCTCTTTATCTCTCTATCTCTATATCTCTCTACAATTCCATTGCTGAAAAAGGAAAAGGTTGAGAGAGGAGGTGGGAGGTGATGCAGATGATCTCCAAGGCCTCCTCTGCAATGGCCTCCTTCCCTTGCTCTCGGGTCTGTTTTATCTCTCCTCTCTCTCTCTCTCTCTCTCTCTCTCTTCTTTTTGTTGAGCAAATTTGTGATTTTACATCTTCTTTTTTCGGTTGGGGAATTATTAATATAAACTAATGCGTGTGGGAATTCAATTGGGGATGTCGGAGCTTTTTATTTTATTTTTATTTTCTTCTGCGTGTCTAGTCTGGTTTTAGAATTAATTCGCATGGTCATCTCCGTTTTGTCGATTTCTTATTTTTCTGCTTTGTGTGATTATTATTATTTTTTTCCCTTTTTGTATGCTTGCCAATTTGGATCTTCATTTCGTTTTCTTAATTCTTTCTCCTATATATATTTTTTTAATCTTTTTTAAGTACTAATAATACCTTTAGAGATATATGTAATTGATGTGTGTTTTAGAGGCTTCCCAGGTTTGAATAGATTTGCTTCATATTTTACAGCAAAAAAAAAAAAAAATTTGGGAAAGTAATCTAATAATATTGATATAAGTTAGAGGTTGATTTTAGGTGTAAAAAACAAGAGACATAGTTGAGACTATAGAGGACTTGGATGTTTAGTTGGAGGATTCAAATCATGATTTGAATCATGGTTCATAGTTCGCTACAGTATTTTCTCTCACAAAAAATACACGTAAATCGAAAATGATTTTAATCACATGATTTTAATCCATGAACCAAACGTTGGTCATCTCCGTTATGTCGATTTCTTTATTTTTCTGCTTTGTGTGATTATTTTTTTTTTCTCTTTTTGTATGGTTGCCAATTTGGATCTTCATTTCGTTTTCTTAATTCTTTCTCCTATATATATTTTTTAATCTTTTTTAAGTACTAATAATTCCTTTAGAGATATATGTAATTGATGTGTGTTTTAGAGGCTTCCCAGGCTTGAATAGATTTGCTTCATATTTTACAGCAAAAAAAAAAAAAAAAAAAAAAAAAAAAAATTTGGGAAAGTAATCTAATAATATAAAGTGATATAAGTTAGAGGTTGATTTTAGGTGTAAAAAACAAGAGACATAGTTGAGACCATATAGGACTTGTTAGTGAAGAAGACGCTTTTTCACTGTTAGACCTTTTTCTTTTTGTTTTTCTTTCGTTTATTTTTATATGTTTTCTGATAGTTGGTTCTTCAAAACCCACCTCTTTAGATGAAAATGTATTTTATGGTTTTGTGTTTGTAGTAAGGTGGACTCTTGGAGAGGTGTTGACTTTAGATTTAGGACAATACATCACTTGTGAATTAGGTAAACGGCGTTTTGAACTTTTGAAACCAAATCTTGATCTATCTTTGGCTGAATGAAGAATGTTTACAAATCCGTGACATTGTCGTTTGTTAAGAAGAAGGTAGGAACTGAAATAAGTTGGGGTTTTTTTGTTTTTTTTAATAAATAATTTTACTGTCTGTGCCCGAGTAATTGGTTTCAACATAAATATTTGTTTTACTCTTTTACTCCTTTCAAAAGCGAAGCTTCAAATTTTGGTGACTGGGTTGTGACTACTTTTTTATGCTTTAGGTGAGGAGTGGGCTATGTGTATGGCCGGGCATGCGGCAACTTTGCCTCAGAAAGGGCTTGTTGTACGGATTTATGCGGTTGTTCTCTTCGCCATTAAAGACTTTACGCGGAGCTAGTCGATCTCTTCGAGTTGATCAATTTTGCAGTGTTGTTAATATGTCATCCACATTGCAAATTGAATTGGTGAGTCTCCTGTTTATTTTCTGAATTGCAAAGCGTTGACTGCTTGGATGCTCTTCTTTTAAGGCAATGATTTTGGATTCATATTTATGCTTGTATCAATGAAAAGAAGTTTTCTTATTAAAAAGAAAAGATTCGCATTTATGTTTTTGTTCTTTGGCAAAATCCCACTTTTTCCATTTTCTCTTGTTTGACTTTAATGGTATAGATACAGTGTGGTAGCGGATATTTCTCTGCTTGGTTTTAGTTTCTTGACTGTTATTACACTAGCGGTTTTGCCCTCATATTTGAGGCACAACCTGTTGCACTGTAGAAAGAATTGAAAGTATTTTTACGGAGCTGGAACTAGTGAACCACTAAACAACGAGTTGACTGTGTAATATTTGTTTCGCAAGGTTATAATTAATGAATGATTTGTGGGTACAACATATACATATACGCGTGCATATTCGGCCACTCTTAGATGAATGTATATCTGCAAATGTGTGTACTATCCAAATTGTAACTTCAATTAGGACATCAGTTGAGCAACAGCAAGGCTAAAATCATACATCTTTTCTTTTTTAGGTACCATGCCTTAGGGATAATTATGCATATCTCTTACATGATGTGGATACTGGCACTGTTGGTGTTGTCGATCCTTCTGAAGCTGTGCCTGTTATTGATGCTTTGAGTAAGAAAAATAGAAATTTGACATATATACTAAACACTCATCATCATCATGATCATACTGGTGGTAATGCAGAGTTGAAAGCAAGGTATGGAGCTAAGGTATGATGACACTAACTTACGGTCGTCTTTTTTTCCTCCTTTACTCACATGTTTATCTCTATTTCTTTTCCTATTAAAGACTTTAGTAGGTCTATGCATAGTATGGACCATTGACCAATCATGGCTACTTATAAAATAATACTAGGAACCAAAGACCAGACAGAATAGTAGATATAATCTAAATTGTCCTATTTTTCCAAATCAGTCCAACTCGTTCTATTGTCTCAGGATATGTCTTATGACAATTTAAGTGTTTCAAATTCGGATAGTTTTTAATGTTATGTAGGAATCTAAAACTATTTACTGGCTGGTAATCGAAAAGTTCTCCCCATTTTTGCTCATTTTGTTTGCGCAATCTTCCTCAAGATGATAAATCATCAAGAAAATAGAAATAACAAAAAGGAGCATCTATTTATGGAACATAAAGTTTGGAAAGGAGTAGGAAATTTCAATTTTATATTAGACGATAACGACACGTGTTTACTGTTTATTGGTTAGTGTCCAATCAAGTGTAAAAAGTAACAGTAAAGTCTAAAACGTAATGTAATTTGCCAAACCATGTATTTCAGCAGTCATATTTACTGTCAGTTTTCTTTATATTGAACCATAGTGCGTTGATAAACTTGTTTCCTTAGATGGTATGAGTCAATATTTACAGTTGGAGTGTTGGACTACTGGCCAACCACGCATTTCTAAATTTTAATTAATAAGTAGAGGTCTTCTAATCCAGTAAGAGCCGCGCCATAGAATTATAAACAAATGTAGAAGAGCGGGAAATGGTGCATCATTTTTAAGTAACAGCTTGCTGTGGATTTGACTGATTCCATACTGCTGATAGTTTAATGCTGAGATCTTTCTCTTCTTTTATGTCTTAAGCTTATAGCTAGACTGATTCTTGAAATTATGTTATTTTTACTTTCATAAGGGTCAAAGTTTTTGGATATAAATTTTCTCCTTTCTGTTTACTGACCCAAATTTTCTGTGTAGATAAGCTTTATGAATGATACTACATTCATTTGTTTCCTGCAGGTAATTGGCTCAGCAATGGACAAAGAGAGGATTCCAGGTATTGATATAGTTCTGAATGATGGAGACAAGTGGATGTTTGCCGGCCATGAGGTGCATGTTATGGAAACTCCTGGTCATACAAGAGGTTGTATCTCATTACTATATGTTCTAAATTTTTATTTTAAATAACCATAAAACTATCTAATTGTTGTAGCTATAACTACTAAATTTCCGCTTTCTTGTTCCAAGGTGTTAATGGAATCCAATTAATAATTTTATCAAATGCACTCTCCATTCCCTTTTTGCTACTTGTCTCTATTTCTTCAATCTTGTCAATGTTTATCTTGGAACTTCCCTTGGTATTTCATTGATGCTTTCCTCCCAATCTCCCTTAGTCATGATGGTGGAAACCTGTTTACAAATAATAACATCCTAATGCTAGAAGAAGCATATATTTTTTAGGAAAATTCCAGCCTTTTTGAGAGAAATCCTGGATAAAGATGCCCATCACGACATTCTACATGGTTTGAGAAAAATTACTGGATTTTCAAGAACGTCTCCAAATGAAGCTTTTCTTCTACAAAGGACGCAATATTGGGCATCTTTGTGTGCCTTAAAGCCTTATTTCATATTTATAGGATGCCACCTGCTAAAACGTGATATATTGGACATTAGGAGAGGTCATCTTCCATTCTATGAGATCCCCCTATGCTCATGTCTGACTTTTGCTCTTTTCTTTTCTTTTGTTTTTCCAGGTCATATCAGCTTTTATTTTCCAGGATCAGGTGCAATCTTCACTGGAGATACGTTGTTCAGCTTATCATGTGGCAAACTGTTCGAAGGAACCCCTGAACAGGTAGATCTTAGCTTTCATTATTATGTTTCTGTCTTGTAGGTTCTCCAAAAATAAAAATGATAATGGTTCTCTGTATATTTGAGCTCATTCATTTTCTATCTCAAGTCTCATGCCTTTGGTTGTAAAAATTGTGACATAATTATTAAAATTATGAGGTGGAGTTGTATTGAGTGCCTTTAAATTTATGCTATTCAAGATGGAGACTTTCACAAGTCAATATTTGTCTTCACCAAACTTGTTTGAAGCACAGCATGTGTCGACATATTGCTAATCTTTTGATCTTTGTTTTCTTCTGGTTTAGTGTTTCTTCTCTTTTGGAGATGTTCATCTTCTGATTTTTTACATTTTTATCATTGGAATTTGGTAAATATATATAAAAAAAAAAGTAGAGAAATGATATGCTCGTATTTTTCATTGTCTAACGTTTTTTCTTTTCTTGATAATATGGAGTGCTTATAATTGGAAAGAAAAGAATTTTAAGGGTTATAGTTATGCCTTCTGAAACTATTATTATTATTGCTATTTTGTGTATTTTGACAGTTAGCTTATCTATGCTGCAGATGCTATCTTCTCTTAAAAAGATCACGTCTTTGCCAGATGACACAAATGTATACTGTGGTCATGAGTATACGCTGGTAAGCCATTTTGTATTTCCTCATTTTCCTTTCTGACTGTGTCTCTTCATATCCAAAAACAATTGTCTCATCACAAGACATTCACTTTACAGAGTAATTCAAAGTTCGCGTTGTCTATAGAGCCCGAGAACGAGGCACTTCAATCATACGTTGCGTATGTAGCTCATCTTCGCACCAAGGGCTTACCTACGGTACCTTCTTGCAAATCCTTTTCCTTGAACTTTTTTTTTTTCATTTTTTTTTTTATTTTGGTGGTCCCATCAAAGATAATAAGTTCTGGAAACTTTTCTGATCAATCAAGACAAATTGAATATTCCATCCTATCAACACATTTGTGTCTTGCAAGTGAGAATGTGTGAAAAAAATTCGGTTATCAATGTCATGTCTAGCTTAGTAATAGATAATTGTCCTTTTTTTAATCCCGTAGAATGATTTTATCATGTTAGCATGCTGATGTGTTTGGGTCTTTCACTCTACAATTCACATTGTGAATTGGGGGAAGATATTTTACAACTTGACTTGGTTGGGTACATGTGAAATGGGTATGGGTTGTTTGGAACTACTCTATACATTGGTTATACCATGTCAATGTTGAAAGTGTTACTGCGGTAATTGAGCAATAATGATGACTGAAACTTTGACAAGAGGTTTACGTGGGAATGTTTCTTAGGTGTCTGTTATTTAATTAGTTTTAGGGTGTTAGGATCCTGGTTGAGTCCCACATTGCTAAAGTATGGGCTTAGCATGTGGGTTTATAATCACTTAGGCACCCTCTCCCTACAAGCTAGCTTTTGGGGATGAGTTCTACCTAAGGGTTATAACATAGGGTTATTTAGGATTTTATTGACTATTTCATACCCATTTTGAGCTCATGTAAAATGTTCTCAACGTTGTACTCAGATTTCTATTTCGTATAAAATTTATGATTTTGAGCACTTAATGACAACTTTAGTAATTGTGAAGTCCTAAAGAGTGAACAAGTTGATAATCTGTAAAGAATCAAATTGTCATTTTAAGTCGCGATTTAAATTTGATATGAAATTGAAATTCAAAGATACAATGTTGAGAACACTCCCAAATGCATGAAAATATATTTTGTATAAGCTTAAAATGCAAGGTATAAATGTTACTACAAGCACCTCCACTAAATATCACACAAATTCACGTTCGTTGGCCCTCTTAAAACCGTACTGCACTTTTTAAATTTAAAACCGTACTGCACTTTTTAAATTATCATCTGTCCGCTGTTCTCAGATTGTGGGCAGCAGTGATTAGGAATTCAATCAAAATTTTAGGATGGGCAGGATAATGCAAAAATTTAAACATAAACAGTAGACGCGTTGTGTTGGAACTGTGGCCAAGGGAGACGGGGGGTTATCAATCCCTTGAGGTAAGAGGGCCAAAAAAGGGTAGGTTTTGCGGTCATATTACAAGTGATGGTTCAAAAGTAAAGACACCATTTCCTAATAGTATGAGGCTTTTTAAGGTAAACCTCAAGAACAGAATGCCCAGAGCTTTCAACATCATACCATGTAAAAATGTGGACGATAAGCGATACGATGCCTGGCAAGGTTATAATTGATGATTCCCAAGTAAGGACACCATCTTGATAGTAAGGCTCTTGGGGGCAATGTTGAAGAGAAGCTGTGCAGCTTTGGGGCCAAAGCAGACAACATACTAAGTGAAGATGTGGGTCGCTAAGAGAAAAGGAGATAAATATATCTTAAAAGTGCATGAGTCAGGGTTTCTATCATTTACTCTTGATTAATAACCATTTTTAATCAAATAACAATACTAGTAAAAGGGTATAAATTAAGAATGAGGGGTAAAGATTCTAAAAAATGGCAATTAGACAAGTTGGGGTGTTCTTTGTGCGTCTTTTTTTTTTTTTTTTATTTTATTTTAATGTTTTGTATATTTATTTATTTATTTTTGTTGGGAAAGAATTTCCGGGTGCCTTTTTGTTTGTCTTTTTTCCCCCCTTTTAACTTGGGAGTTTTTCTCTTTTTGTACTTATCCCAAGTTTCAACTATTTTATGGTGCATCAGATTCCAACTATACTAAAACTGGAGAAGGCGTGTAACCCATTTCTCCGCACGTCAAGTAGAGAGATTCGGCAATCATTAAACATTCCCTCCACAGCTACTGATGCAGAAGCTTTGGGTGTCATTCGTGAAGCAAAGGATAATTTTTGATTTGTATTTTGTAGATATATCTCATTCATCTTTGAAATAAAACCTGTCCATATTCTTAAATAGCTTTTCATTTTGGATTTGTTATTAAGCTAGACCATACATTTGTTACTTTTGGTTTTTTTATTTTTTATTTTTTTTTATTTTTAAGATAATGAAAATATGAGTTGTTGCACGGACAGTTTACAAACTTGGCATTTAAGTGAGTCTCAGGTTGAAGTCCACCACCCGGGAAAATGTGGTGTGGAATTTCCCTTCTGTAGTCCATAAATCATCCTCTTTTTAGCAGCCGTTTTTTTGATCGGGTGATTAGCAAATTATAATATGATTTTTAAAACAACAATAAAACATGTAGTTTATAGTATAACTTAATATCTTAAATTGAAAACTCAAAAATATCCCTTGACCATGATCTCTCCCTCCCCCTCTAGAATTTTATGTTATTTAGAAAATAGGATAATTTATATTGGAGCCTCATTATGTATGCATATGATAAGTGCAGGACCGACTCAAGTCTAAAAATTTTATGCGTGAGTTTTCTAGCATGTCTCGTTTAAGAGAAAAAAACAGCTTTTTTTTTTTAAAAAAGTTTTTTCATGCTTTTTATTGACACTAGTTTTGAGCACGCGTGAATCATTTAAAATAATAGTCATATTAATGTTTTTTTAAAAAAAATATTGCAAATTTTGGTTCAAACCTGTAATGTTAGGGAAAATCGAATAATTAATAAGTAAAATTAATTAAAAAATTTTCATAATTACGCTATTAGATCTATTAGAAAATATAAGTTCATAGCTTATAATTTTTAAGCTTCGGCATTGATTACGCGAAACGTTAATAAGAGAATATGAGAATCTTGAGTATTAAAGCAAAATACAAAGTCGGGGATTTTCATGGAAAATCTCATTGTCAAGTTTTATGATTTGAGAATTTGTGAAATTATAAAATAAATTCTAAAATTTTGTACTAAATATTCAAACTAGACTTCATGGCTCCTAGGAACAAAATAAATCGGTTGATAATTCTCACGCGATTTAAGGTGAAAAAATCTAAAATAATAACTTGACAATTTTAATTATTAAAATTTTCAAGTACATTATGATATTAGCAGTGTGCCGAGAAACACTTTAATTACACTCAAAAGGTCTCTAATTACCAGTTAGTTAAATCAGAATTACGCGAATAACATTTTCGATAGAAAAATACTACCCGAGCTCGAGAATTGACACTGTCAGTGACTAACTCATTACCAAAATATAGAAAAGAATCAAGTTTAGAGTTTATTTAAATCTAGGAATAATTTTAAGATTTAAAACAGTCCAATTTTAATACACAATTAAGAATTTAAACCGATATCGAATTATTTAGATAATAGTGACATACTGTAAGTAAGTAGTAGAAAAGGACCTGTCGAAAAACGGGTGATGGTTTTGCACTGTTTTTTAGTCCAAAAAAAAAAGAAGAGGAGAACAGAATGAGTACTCAGCAAACTACGGTAAAGAAGGCCAATCAGAAGCAAGTCCAACAATGAAGGCTGGAATTTTTTTTTTCCGATTTCCAGGTATGAGCTCGAAGCTCTGATACCATGTAGAAAACAATGATCAGATTGTATTAATCTTAATTCCATTACAGCTATGTTACGAGGCTATATATAGCCATCTGAATCACAATACAAACAAAGAAAAGGTCACACAGATTTAACTATTGACACCCTAAAATCAGCCTAAAATTAAGGATTCTAACAGTACATAGCTATAGACTTTTCAACGAAACATATATGTTTTTCCATATGAAATATGAAAATGAAAGAAACCAAACTTTATGTATTTAGGTGTTGCCTTATTTAGCTTTTTATAGAGTAATTAATCCTAAATCATTAGAGGACGTTTGGTTGGAGGATTCAAACCATTTTCGATTTACGTGAATTTTTTGTAAGAGAAAATACTGTAGCGAATCATGAATCATGATTCGAATTAGGAAACGAATCCCTCTACCAAACATCCTATAAAGTCAAGTGTTAGAGGAATTAAAAATATTTTTATAGGATATGCTGATAATTCTAAGACTTATAGATTATTAAATTTAGATTCTAATATAATTGTGGAATCAAGAGATGTTGAATTTATATAATATAAATTTATTCTTGATTCTTTCACTGAATTGGAATTTAATGTTGATCAATCATGTGTTAATACTCCTAGAACCACCACTAATAACAAAAGGAAAGAGTTTATGACATCTTTCGAATCGAGGAGAAGTCAACGTGAAAGAGAAGAAAAGAACTTAACACTTGATTTTATTTCACCTCAAGCTTTAAACTTAGCACCTGATTTTATTTCACCTCAAGCTTTAAACTTTTTAGTTGGAGATAGAAATGATGTACTTAATAAAATACCATTATTACTTTATGTGGAAGAAGATCTAAAGACATTTAATGAAGCTATGTCTTCAAGGGATGCCTCCTTTGGGAGAGCAGTCATGAATGATGATGGATTCGATTATGTTGAATCAAACTTGGATCTTGGTTGATCTCCTTCCGAAATCGAAACCAATAAGTAACAAATGGGTGTTTAGAAGAAAGTACAACACTGATAGTCATATACAAACATGTAAGGCTAGATTGGTAGCCAAAGGGTTTAAACAAAAGTGTGGTATAGACTACTTTGATACATATGCTCCGGTAGCTAGATTGACATCAATAAGAGTACTATTTGCAATCGCATCGATACACAATTTACATGTGCATCAAATGAATGTTAAAATAGCTTTTCTAAATGGTCCGGTAGCTAGATTGACATCCATACTCCTGTAGCTACCATACTTTGATACATATACTCCGGCAGCTAGATTTACATTCATAAGAGTGCTATTTTCAATTGCATCGATATACAATTTACATGTGCATCAAATGGATATTAAAATAGCTTTTCTAAATGGTGATCTTGATGACGAAATCAATGTGGAACAACTCGAAGGGTTTGTATTGCCTGAAAATGAAAAGAAGGTTTGCAAGTTAGTCAAGTCGCTTTATGGTTTAAAGCAAGCACCAAAACAATGGCATGAGAAATTTGATAACGTCATTTTATCTCATGGTTTTAAGCATAATAATGCAGATAAAAGCATATATTCTAAATTTACAAATGATTTTGGTGTAATTAATATGTTGATGACTTGCTTATTTTTAGAACAAATATGCACGAGGTAAATGACACCAATAAGTATATAACTTCACAATTTAAGATGAAAGATTTTGGTGAGGTAGATACTATCTTACGTGTGAAAGTGAGGAAGCACAGTGAGAGTAACTCATTGTGTCAATATCATTATATTGAGAAGATGCTTTTTAACTTCAATTATTTGAAGTTTAAAGAAGTAAATACCCCATATGGTTCTAGTATTAAATTACTAGAGAATGCAGGCTGAGCGGTGACACAACTTGAATATGCTACTGTAATTGGTAGCTTGATGTATATCATGCATTGTATAAGACCTAAGATAGCATTTGCAGTATGCAAAATGTCTAGTTCACGAGTAACCCAGGTGTTGAACATTAGAATGCAATTGGTAGAGTACTTGGTTATCTTAAAAGAACCAATAATTTGGGTTTATCATATAATGATTATCCGGCGGTACTTGAAGGGTACTCAGATGCAAGTTGGATAACAAGTGCTACTGATAACAAATCCACATCCGATTAGATTTTCACAACTGTGAGAGGAGTTGTTTCTTGGGCTTCTAAAAAACAAATGTGCATAACTCATTCTACAATAAAGAGTGAGTTTATAGCACTTACCGCTACGAGTAAAGAAGCGGAATGACTGAGAAATTTATTATTTGATATTGAGTTGTGGCCACAACCGATGTCATCTATTTCTTGTATTACGATAGTAAAGTTACTTTTTCTAGATCTTATAACAAGGTTTATAATGAGAAATCTAGACATATTAGCTTGAGACATGAATATGTGAAACAATTGATAACCGATGGTGTTATCAATATTATTTATGTTAGGACTAATAAGAACCTAGTGGATCCCTTGACAAAAGGTCTATCAGAGACTTAGTCAAGGAAACATCTAGTGGAATGAGACTGAAACCTTTCTTTGAAAGTCACTGGTAATTGTAACCCAGTTATGTAATAGTTGTACCACTATTCCATAGTCAAAAGGGTAAAAACAAGTCATTGTTATGTGACCTAGTTAGCATCGAAATTTAATTTGTCCTTCTAGGATGCCGGTGCAAAATAGCTACATGGACGAGGTTGAGTGTATACTCTTAATGAAGTTCGAGTCTCGTAGCAGCTAGAGACATGATTCAAAATTTCACCTAAGTGAACATAAGGAATGGTGTCATTCCTAACTAGACTGTGGTTTAGTCTTGTAAATGTCCATGAATCCAAGATAGAGCGTAAGGCTGGAATAATGCTAAACGATTGGAACGGTTTTTGAAGTCTGGGATAACATAAATGTGATGTAATTTTGATATTTGATAAAAAGATAAAGTTTAATGCAAAGCGGACTATTGTCTTATGAATACTTTGAAGTATATTCACTAATTGGAGGTTAAAATCGAAAGATACTTTCTTAAATGTATGTGTTTATCATTGTTAATTATGGATAAATATTACAATCTAGTGGAGGATTGTTAGAGAGATTGTAATATGTCTCATAATTAGTTCACATGTTTTTAATTGAGATAGAGCAAGGAATAGCACAACAAGACAATAAGGAAGCACTGCAGCCAAAGAAACAACACCTTTTCAGGTGCTGGTAGTGCAGCCATAGGTGCTGCAACGCCTATTTGGGGTGGTGCAGCGCCTGCTAGGAAATTCCTGCGTGCGCTATATTGCTTGTGGTGCAGCCCTTCGGGGCCTGTTGCTCTGGTTCATGCGTTGTAGTGGGAAAAAAACATCCGTTACAACGCCAATACTGCAGAAAATAGAGTTTTTGTGTTTTGAGATATGAAACGTTATGAACCGTTGCATCCATTAGTGATATGTTTTCACACATATCTGAACACTTATTAACATAATATATAACTATTGTGATAGATGCATTAATCTATGAAGAGATACATTTACATTGAAAATGTACTTCTATGTGAATAGTTGTGATGTTTGAAGAGGTTGTGTTCGTTCATGAAATGATACATCTGTCTTTATTAATTCATCAAAAAATTTACAGACTTATTTCATGTCCTAAAATAAAATATTATTGCTAGATATTGTGTTCAAAGGTTTGTTGTATCTTGAGGGTAATTTACAATAGAAACTCATTAGGAAACTTTGAGAAGTGAGTGCAAATAAAACCTTAGAGGAACCTTTCAGGTGCTGGCAGTGCAGCCACAGGCGCTGCAATGCCTATTTGGGGCGCTGCAGCGCTGCTAGGAAATTCTTGCGTGCGTTACAATGCTTGTTGTGCAGCCCTTCGGGGCCTGTTGCTCTGGTTCATGTGTTGTAGCGGGAAAAAACATATGTTACAACGCCAATACTGCAGAAAATAGAGTTTTGTGTGATTTTGAGATATGAAACGTTACGAACCGTTGCATCCATTGGTGATATGTTTTCACACATATCTGAACACTTATTAACAGAAGATATAACTGTTGTGATAGATGCATTAATCTATGAAGAGATACATTTACATTGAAAAGGTACTTCTATGTGAATGGTTGTGATGTTTGAAGAGGTTGTGTTCATTCATGAAATGACACATCTGTCTTTATTAATTCTTCAAAAAATTTACAGACTTATTTTATGTTCTGAAACAGAATATTATGTCTAGATATTGTGTTTAAGGGTTTGTTGTATCTTGAGGGTAATTTGCAATAGAAACTTATTAGCAAACTTGGAGAAGTGAGTGCAAATAAAACCTTAGAGGAAAGTATTCCTATACGCCTCAAATCCTCTTATTTTTCTGCATTATTTTCATTCTCTACACTCAAATTCACCAACACATAAATCTACACCACCACCGTCATCGCTGCCACGACTTCAAGCCCACTAGATTTGTCAACACCCTTCAGTGTCACTGAGGTAGTTGTGTCGGAGATCAGAGATCAAAGATTGTTGTCACTGGAAAGTTGTTGAGCAACTTCGATAATTTCTGGAGAGGAGCTCGATAGAGAGGTTGAGTGTATTGGAGAGACTTGTCCTCACCTAGTTGCTCAGGTTTTTTTTTATCTAGATCTAGGAGTTGTTGTTGGGTGGTGAGTGTAGGCAAGGACAATGGTTTGTGCAAGGACTGCCGGATGACGCAAAAATCACGACAGAGGAGGTGAGTGTTTGACGAGTAGAGTGGCAGAGATAGTTTACTGGAGTGAAGGCGGCAAATCCACTGGTGTGGGTCGAAGGAGGTTGACAATTGCGGCAGATAACGAAGAGGAGAGTGGTAGTAAATTGGTGTTTCAACTTTCAAAAGAAAAAAAAAAGAAAGGGCAACTATGAAAAAAGATAATGAAAACATTTTAGAATGGCCATGGGAGGAACGATGATTTAGTCATTTTAATGGAAAAGTTATTTTTGTAGAATGGCCATTCTTTGTGCAAAAACTAACTACACATCATATTTAAACTTTATTCTTTTCCATTCCATTTCTTTCCCCCAACCCTCACGTTTTTTATAGTATAATGGATGGCCAACTAGACTTCACAATATAATAAAATCCATAAGGGGTCGGAATATAAATAATTTAAAGTTTTAAGAGAGAAAAAACACGAAGGTAAAATTAAAATACATCATACATCATACTAAAATTTTAAAATATATTATAGTGTCGTTTATTTTACCAATTTAAATTTTCAGTTCTAAGTTTCTGTAGTAAAAAGTTCTCAGAAAATATCACATCTAACTTTTTCTGTTACAGTGAAAAGTTCTCAGAAAATGTCACATCTCAACTCGAATTGAAACTCGAATCCGCGAAGTGAACGACGCTTATATTTTTATTTTACTTTGCTATTTAACGCGAATAGTTTAACAAATTGCCTATACGTTATAATTTCTCAGGCCTCGTTCATTTTATTGATTCGAGTTTAGAATTCAAATTTTGTTACAGTAAAAAGCTCTCACAAATAGTCACATTTAACTTTTTTACTATAATAAAAAATTCTCATATAAAATCACATCTCAACTCAAATTTTAAATTCAAATAAGCAAAATGAACGAGCCCTAAAATAAAGGAAGCTAGCGTGAAGGTAATTTTTTTTTTTTTTTAACAAAAAGAAAAAAAAAAACTTGTTTGAAGGTCACACCAGCAGGCGGAAGAGGAGAGGGAAAACGTTGCACCATTGCTGGCCTATCAATTTCAAACCATTTACAATCCTTCTCTACTCCCAAACACTTGTATTTCTCGAAACGAAAGAGCGAAACTTCTCGCAATCGTTACCAAATCAAATTCTTCTTCCAGGGTTGAATCTTCTTCCCCTCTCCTTCATTGAATTTTCACATCTTTCTGCATAATCACGGACGGAATCGTCCGATCAAGACAAATGTGGAGCAGAATCGGATCCATTAGAAATAGCTCGCTGAAATTAGGTTTAGGATTAGAGTTAGCGAGAAGATGGTTGTGGAGTAGTAGCGAGACGGGACGGCGGTTCGCAGCGGTTTGGGGGAACGGCGACTATGGCAGACTTGGGCTTCGGAGCCTCGACTCCCATTGGAGGCCTGTTCCGCTGCTTTGTTCAGCGTTTCGGGAACAAGGCCTTCGAGCCATCGCTTGTGGTGGTGCTCACACTCTCTTTCTAACAGGTTCGTGTGTTTCTGAGTTTTTTCTGAAAATTATTTATTTCAATATAATTATGTATATATGTTCTTTTTTCTTTGTACTTTTAATGGGATAATGTTTTTCTAGGGTACTGTAATCTCTCTATTTTAGTACCCTTAGAAAATTCTGAAAGGTGTGGGGTGAATTACTTGACATTTTGGTGCCTTTAAGAGTTTCGAATTCCTTGAAAAACTTAGGAGACGTATATTTCAAGGGTTCTGCCTGGTTTAGAATTATGGTTCTTGGTTCTGCTGCAGCGTTTTTCTCTCATAAAAAATTTAAATTTTAAAAATCAGAATCATGAATTATGGTTTTGAACCCACGAACCAAACGCCATCTTATAAATTGAGGTCAAGGCTTCCCTGGATGAGGCTGCTATCTATCTTTTTCATTTTTATTAGTTACGGGTTCAAAACGGAGGGATATCATGAAAAAGGTCAGAGAAATTTCACCGTTTCGCAGTGTTGGAGGAAAATGACATATATGGAAGTTAGTTATTTTGATCTATGCAATTCTGATCCTTTTGTTTGTTCATTTTTGGTGAGCGTTTAGTTGTGGTATTTTAGGATTTCCGCACACTAGGAAGTCCATGATAGTAGATACTTATGTGATATATGCTAGACTGTGCGTGGAGAATGTAGTGCTAGGAGTGTTAAGTGAGCTTGGGGACCAAACATGGACGAAGACGATAATATGGTAATTTTGTAGTAGTTTTAGCGGCATAATCTTTTGTGTGAAAATGACGTGGAGGAGCTGGAAGCACAGACATGGATTTTCTAGAAGATGAGTCAAAAGTACTGTGATATGTGCATATTTAGCATAATTGCAGAAAACAAATGAAGTATGCACGGCTGAAATGATTGATAATGTTGACAACATAGATTGTTTATAGATAATTACAATGGTGATCTGGATGAAAAACCTCTCCAATTCTATTCCCAACTTTTATCTGCGGTACTTTCGTTTTGACCAGTTGCTTCTGCAGTCACATGCAAGTGTCTGCACTCAATTCCATCGATTACAGAGTATTTTCATTAGTTGAATAGAGAGAGAGAATCGGAATCAAAGTTTTTGCTGATAATACTCAGGATGGATAATCAAATATACAATGTTTTTGCTGATAATTCTCAGGACGGATAATCAAATATACAACTTCTTTGTGGGTTTCTACTTCTAAATTATGTAGAAATGTTCCGTTTCTTCTAATTAGTGTGAGTTTGAAGAACACAGTTTAGGGGTCCGATCGTTTGGGTTTTGAGAGCAAATTAGAAAAAAGCAAGTTTGCTTTGGATTTGACATAGTTATAAGCTTTCCATTTTGTTTTTTACATGACATAGGCAGCTTAATTCCCAACATTTCTATAGAACTTTGCTATTTCCTTACTTGTATCAGTTTTAATATTTAAATGTCCAGTCATAGTTAAAATTCCTACTCCGTTTTAATTATTTGTTGAGTCTCATCTATAAAGTTTTTATTAGCCGTAACCATTTTTTTATTACATTATTGAAAACAAATTTCTCTGGCTAACAAACTGTCTCCTACTTTAGCAGAAACTGGATGTGTCTATGCCACCGGTCTCAATGATTTTGGACAGCTTGGGCTATCTGATGATACAACTTATACTACCGTGTAATATCTAAATTCTTTCTTTATTTCTAGTCGTCTATTCATTTTTTATAGGATTAATTTCACTGGTACCCTCTGAACATTGGGGTCATTTCTAGTTTACTCTCTAAACTTTAAAAACTCTCACTTTGCTCCCTGAACTTTGAATTGTTCTCACTAAACTCTTTTTATTATAATTTCTGTTAAAATCAGACAAAATAGAGGGGGTTACGTATAGTCATGTGGTTGTTATATGTTTCTTTTTAATAGAAATCCAAACAGAAAGACCACGTGATTGCATTGTTCTCTTTTTTTTATCTGTTTTTAACAGAAATTGCTACAAAAGGGTTTAAGTGGAAACAATTCAAAGTTTATGGAGTAAAATGAGACTTTTTTAAAGTTCAGGGGGCAAACTGAGAATGACCCTAAAGTTCAGGGGGCATCAGTGATAACAATCTTTTTTTATATTAGGCCTCATTTGTTTCTTTGCTTTTGAGGATTTCTTATCTTTCTAATGTAACTTTATGATGTCATCTAATTATGTGTTTTTACTTTTTACTAGTTGAGCCACGTGCTACGCACGTGGGGAATAACTTTGTAAGTTTGATCATGTCTTAAAACATAGAAGCTAAGTCCATCACGTGGAGGAAAGGGGAAAATGTATTTAAAAAAATTACATAGAAAAATAATTAAAGTTATTCTGGAGTTTTTGACATAAAAAAATTAAGTAGGAGCACATTTAAAAGAAATAATATTAATTAAAAGAAAGAGAGTAGAAAAAGATTAGAAATAATATAAAAAGGAGATGTTGGCATAAAATAAAATAAGATGATTAGAAATAATAAAAAAAAAGAAATAAAAACAAAAGAGTAAAAAGGAGAAGTTAACATAAAATGAAAGAGTAAAAAGAAGTTGGCATGTGGCCAATGGAGAAACAACTTTCTTTGGCTCTTTTATGTATTATTTTAATTAAAAGAAAGAGAGTAGAAAAAGATTAGAAATAAGAAAAAAATAAGAAATAAAAACAAAAGAGTAAAAAGGAGAAGTTGACATAAAATAAAAGAGTAAAAAGAAGATGTTGACATGTGGCCAATGGAGAAACAACCTTCTTTCGCTCTTTTATGTGTGTTTAGATTAGATATTTTAATTAAAAGAAAGAAAGTAGAAAAATATTAGAAATAAGAAAAAAGTAAGAAATAAAAACAAAAGAGTTAAAAGGAGAAGTTGACATAAAATAAAAGAGTAAAAAGAAGATGTTGACATGTGGCAAATGGAGAAATAACCTTCTTTGGCTCTTTTATGTTTGTTTAGATTCCTAATTTCTCCTCTTTTTCTTGTTTACTTGATCTTTTTACTTCTCCTTTTTATACTTGGCGGCAACATCTTTTGGTGAAATTAAGGGTGCGTTTGGAACTGTTTTTTTTTGTTGTTTTTGAAAATGTTTCCGCACGTCTTTTGAGACACGAAAATGAAAACACTTTGCAAACCGCGTTTGTTTAGCAAATGTTTCGAAAACGAAAACGAAAACAAAAAACAATGAAAATGGTTTTTGTGAAAGAAGAAGAAAACGATTAGAAGATGTTTTCCCTCGTCCTTTTTCATTTTCTAGTACTTACCAATAATGTTACATTAAATATTTAATTATTAATTACTAATTGTATAATATATTAATTAAAATTAATAAATAGCTATGACTATAACTAATAAATAGATAGTAATTACTTAATTATTAATTAATATTAAATTATTAACATTAAATTTGTAATTTTATTAGTAAAAATGATAAATAATAAATAGTAATTAATTATTTAGTTAAAGGTTAATTGCCAAAAATTGATTATATAATATATTAATTATAGAATAATTAATAATAGGTTATTAAGTAAATAACTAATAATTAATATATCAATCATATATATATTAATTATAATCTATTAATCAATTAATAATCAATATTAAATTATAATAATTAAAAATAGTAATTAATCAATTAATAATCAATAATTAAAAATTGATAATTAGCAATTCATCATTATTTAAAGAATAATTATCAAAAATTGATCATGCAATATATCAAATAATAGATTATTAAATAAATCTTAGTAACTAATTAACTAATTAGTTAATATACTAATAATTTTTTCTTAATACACTTATTAATTACTTATAAACTAATAAATATGAGTACGGTAATTACTTATAACTAATTATTAATTACTATTTTTAATTATTTAGCATACTGATGCATTATGTATATAGTTTAATTACCAATATCTTCATTAATTATAATATATCCATTATTATTATATTATTAATATATTAATTTTTATTTGCTAAGTGATTATCAATTATTAATTACTTAATATATTAATTTAAGATTATTAATTACCAAATGTTCATAAATATAACCAAGCACGATTTTACTTTTTCACTATACTCAAAACGATCTCTTAAAAAACCAGCCAAACGCAATTTCAGAATTGGTCACAGAATGATTTTCAAAACAATCTCATTTTCACTTTTGTACTGAAAACAAAATCATTTTGAACATATTACCAAACGGGCCCTAAAATTTTATTAATTGTTATTTCTTTTTTCCACCTTTTGAGACACATCATAGATTTTATTTCTTCTGTGAAATGGACCAAAATATCATTCACAGATGCGAGCCATGTATGTGTTGTTTCTATGTGAGTCATTTATGTGTTTGTGTGTTGCGAACCTACTCTTGTGCTTCTATGGAACATTTATTAAGAAAAGTCGGGGTCTTTGTTGAAGGGCAGACTTGAGAATTCTTATCTACTCAGCAAAATAAATAAATAAACAAAAAACTTGAGAATTCTTATCTGAAGTAGGATATCAGGGACAATTGTTTTTGTAGTTATTGTTATTGTCATTACCAGTATGAATCTTTGTGAATGGGTTTATTTATTTAATTCTTGTATGTGACTATGTGTCCGCTTTGGCTTCCTCAGTTTGCTTTGTATATTTTATTTTTTATCAATGAAAATTTCGTGCTCATTTTGTTTTTTTCCTTCTTTTTTTATTTTATTTTATTTTTATAAGAAACAAAATGTTTTACTGAAGGAAAAGGAATAAAACTTCGAAGGGGACCAATGATCCTTCCAAAACCAATAGCTATGGAATTTAAATGATAGTCTAATAATTACAATATATCATGGAAAGATGAAAGTTCCTAAATACGTTACTAAAGTAAATCCATAGTGAACCCCAACACTGAGCTCTAATACTTCAGAAAGTTGTTTTCTTGGGCCTTAATGTAAGAAATTGAGTGTTCACCAGCCACAGGACCCAAAAGCTAGCCATGATGCTTTGCCTCCGCGGCTCTCAACAAAGGCAGGAAATATTTCTCTTAACAAAGAAACTGGGGATCAAGGAATTATCCAATAGAAACCAACAACTTTTGCCAACTGCGGCCAAAACTTTTATGCTTGTATTTTCTGTTAGTTTTCTATTTATCCATGGTCTTTTAATTGCAGCACCCTTAGACCCATTTTCTAGATATATGGCGCGAGAAGAAAACTAAAATGGTACGGTTTCATAAAATCTCTATGTATTTTAAAGGTGGAAGGAATTACTAATATCTTTTCTTTTCTTGGTCGAAAGAGGTAAGGCAGGGAAAGCCTTAAGGCATAATAAGGCAAAGAAAGCCTCAATGTGTGACAAGACATCACCCCAACATAAGGATATAACAGAGGAAAGACGATTAGATTCCATTAAGGCAATCTAATTAGCCCTTTTTAGCTCCGTGCATTTCTTCGTAATCTTTCTCTATGTATTTTGTTTATGCTGTAGTTTTAGCTTTATTTTTGTTTGTTTTATGGATTCCTCATCCATCTCTTTTTGTCTCTGTAAAATTTTGATTTAGTCAATAATATTTTTCCAGTTTCCTATAACAAATAAATAAAAATAAAAATATAAAATAAAGAAGGATCTATGCATTTCTTGGTAATCTCTCTTCATAAGTAGTTGAGGCAAATCACACATTGGAGAAGAAGGCATATGTCCATCTTTACCATATTTTTCCAGTCCCCTTTTCTCCATTTTTTTTTTTTGACGGGGATCAATGGGTTTCACTCCTATCCCCCTTTTCTCCTTTTTCCTTCTTTTTTTTTTTGATTTCTTTCTTAGGTTAGGGAATTTGCCCTCTCCCTCTCTCTCGCTCCCTCCATCCCTCTCTCTCTCTCTCTCTCTCTCTCTCTCTGTGTTTTGCCTTGAAGAGAGATAATATACTTGTTTATACGGTCCCTGATTATAAGCTATTTATTAAGCTACAAAACACTGCATTATTTGCAACTAAATAATTAGTTCAGTAAGTGACCTGGCTATTCTGCTGTGCTGCAGGAGCCAGTGGAGGTTTCTGGACTTCCGAAAGAAATTGTTCACATCTCAGCTGGTTATTATCACTCTGGTGCTGTTACAGGTTTGGACTTGTCGCAGACTGATACTTTTATGCAAATTATCTTTCTCCAGATTTCATTTTCTCTCATATTTAAGTATTATAAATTCTTGGATGCATGAGTGGCATTAATGAATCCTCTCTTACAACTGTTTTTAACTTGTCTAGGAAGAAAACCTCTTTTTTATTTTTTTGATAAAATGGTGTATAAATATCAACGGATTCTTAACTGCTACCCCACCCCTTCTGCTTTACTGCATCATTATGGGCTTCTACACATGAAGAATTTAAGGGCTTTCCATTTTATTGATAGTTCTTAATTGGAAGGATGTGACAGATAGAATATATTGTAACCTAGATTAAGGGCTTTGCTCCTTATTTTGGTTTGCTGGCTTCTTAGTTTGTTTGTTTGTTTGGTTGTTTTTTTTTTTTCTTTGTTTCCATTTTTGGTGACACTTCTCGTTCCCCTCCTTGCATTTAACTTTTTATTAATAAGGCTGTTCATTATTCCCCCACCCCACCCCACCCACCCCCCAATCCAAAAAAGATAAAACAAAAATAAATAAATAAAGAGGAACCGTGACACATAGTCCACTCTCCAAATGAAGCACGTTTAAAATGTTACTCTGACAATTCTACTGTCTCCCCAATTGTGGCGGTTGGACTACAATAGTGATTTTACATTAGGAATCACCATAGGTTGAATTTAGGACATGGTGATACTGAATAACTTCAATTTGATTTCTTCTTCCATGCAGCTTAAGAACTTGCCTCTTTCTTTGATCTTATTGAGCTAGGAAGGTTGATGTGTTTGGTGAGATTTTTGTAATTTTTTTCTTTCTTTATTTGGACTTAAAGTCCCTTTTGTTTATTTTCTTCTTCCGTGCCGTTTTATCAATAACAGTATATGCTTATTGTATTATGTTTTATTATCTGTAAAAGTCTGTGTATGTTATCAAAATACTAACACGACTAATAATATGTGTTGTTCGTTTTAGCGGATGGAGAACTCTTCCTGTGGGGAAAGAACTCAAACGGACAACTTGGCCTAGGAAAACGTACCAACTGGAACTTTAATTCTGGGTTTTAGTATACATTTTTTCTTTTTTTTTTTTTTTTTTTAAATATTAAACGTCTAGTAATCACATGGTTGTCATCCTGTTTATCCTTGTTCCAAAGTTTTGAACCCTTTCAGTGTTTGTTTAGCAATCTGCAAATTAATTTAGTGAAAAAATTAATTTAGTGAAAATTGTGTCAAATAAAATGACATGATCTACTGATATGCAGGAGCACCGAAGGCGGTTTCCGTACCAACTAAAGTTCAAAGCTTGATTGGAATGACCATTAAAATGGCAGCTTTTGGATCAGAGCATTCAATTGCTGTTACAGGTATTTAAAAAAACCGTACAATTCAATTATGCTCTAAAGTCGTGACTACGTTTTAAATTCTTTCTTAAGTTGTGACTTTTTATTAGATGGAGGTGAGTCCTTGAGTTGGGGAGGAGGGGAGTATGGAAGACTTGGACATGGCCATGATTTAAGTACTTTTGGGTTCTTCAAAAACACCAGGTTGTTTATTTGTACAAGTGAACAACATTCTTTGAACTTTGATCTTTTAATTTCTTCTTCTTTTTGTTTATTAGTAAAATACCAGTAGTCTACACGCTGTCACTGAACTTTTTACTGTTGACTTATTTTCATTTACTCTTCCATAAAATGCACCTCTAGAATGTGGACATATAGTTAATGAGTAGTTGATGCAGTTGTCTACATAATGGGAAAGTATGCAATTGTGCTACCCAGGATATCTCTGCATTTTGTTTTGGGTGTGGTTCTATTGAAATGTTTGTTCATATCTTTGCAGTGAATATACACCAAGGCTTATAAAGGAACTCGAGGGAATCAAGGTATAGTTTCATTTGCTTCGGATTTCTGATTGTTGTCGTAACCTTATGGGTATTCTTCTTCTTCTTCTTTTTTTTTTTTGGTGACCGTTGGAATTTTTCTTTATTTTTTTGGGTCCCTGTCTGTTAATTACTGTTACCCTTTTTTGGCTTATTGTTGAAATAAGTAGGTAAAAAGTGTTGCTGCTGGCTTGCTGCATTCAGCATGTGTTGATGGTACCTTTTTTGGCCTTTCTTACTTAAAATCATTCTCTGTGGCCTCTTTTTTATTTCCTAAATTAGAATATACTTGTTACTTCTCTGTATTTTCCAGAAAATGGCTCAGTTTTCGTATTTGGAGAAAGGCCAGCAGATAAAGTGGTAGGTGCTAGAATCACGTTCTTATGGATTTTAGCAATCATAGTCTTTTCTTGACCTTATCAATCCTTTTTAGTGAAGTTTTTTAGTGAAGTATTTAAGGGAATTGCTGACAGCGTTTTCACGAATACAAAACAGGGCTTCAGAGAGGTTAACAGTGAAAAAATCCCATCCATCGTTTCTGAACTTCCTTATTCTGAAGAAGTTGCATGTGGTGGCTATCACACCTGTGTCTTGACAAGTAATTTTCAGCTGTCCCAAGTTTGTTTTTTTCCCCCTTACTTTTTTATTTTTATTTTTTATTTTATTTATTTAAACAAAAAAATATGTTATTAGAAAAAGAAAGAAAAAGGTTCTGGCAAAAACCTAGACATTCTATTTTCTTGCTGATTTTCCTAAAACGTAGGAGGCATCCTGGATCAGAACAGGTAATAATCTATGGAGATTGGGTTTTTAGTGTTTTTTTTTTTAATCTACAATAATAAGTTGAAGTCAAATGACAACATAGAAGAAAAATGATAAGTATCACTACCACCAGCGATGGTCGGTAATGATTACTACTAAATCTTGCATTATCATGCATTACATATTGAAGTTTGGAATAATCTGAATTTCCTCTCTCATTAATTGAATGGACCGGAAGGGTATTTATACAAAAGCAAAAGATAAGATCTTATCCTAAGAGACCTCCTAGATATTAGGAACTACTTTACACATTTATAGGGATTAGCTTACAACAGATCCTTAGCTATTATCCCACGATTCTAGGAGCATATCACTTATCTAATACTCGGCTAGTTTGAATTTCAACACTCCCCCTCAAACTAGGCGGTATATACTCATTAGACCTAGCTTAGAGCTCAGTTCTGTGAAGTTGGGCCTGAAGAGGGACTTTGTAAGAATGTCTGCAACTTGATGTTGTGATGGAACATGACTCAGTGATATGATATTGCCTTCTATTTTCTCACTGATGAAGTGTCTGTCAATCTCCACGTGTTTCATCCTGTCATGGTGGACGGGATTCTTGGCAATTGCTATGGCTGATTGGTTGTCACACATCATCTGGATTGGTCCTGAGATGGCAATTTTGAGTTCATCCAGTAGTCGTTTTAGCCATATTCCCTCGCAAATGCCCTGGGCTAAAGCCCTAAACTCTGCCTCGGCACTGCTGCGGGCTACCACTGGCTGCTTCTTGCTGCGCCATGTGACCAAATTTCCCCAGACGTAGGAGCAATACCCTGAAATGGACTTTCGGTCGCTTGGAGACCCTGCCCAATCTGTATCTGTGTAGATTTCTAAGAGCCGATTGGCTGTCTTCTTGAATAATAGTCCCTTCCCTGGATCCCTTTTAAGGAACCTGAGAATGCGAGTTACTGCCTCCATATGATCTTCGGATGGATTGTTTAGGAATTGACTAACACGGCTTACGGCAAAGCTTATGTCCGGGCGTGTGTGAGTGAGGTAGATTAGTCTTCCTACCAAGCGTTGATACTGCCCTGTATCCACTGATTTTTCTTCAGTCCGAGGTTTTAATTTCGTGTTGGGATCCATGGGGGTTTCAGCTGGTCGGCATCCACTCATGCCGGTTTCTTGTAGTAGATCTAGCACATACTTGCGTTGAGAGACTGAAATCCCTTTGCTTGATCTTGCTACCTCCATTCCCAGGAAATATCTTAGGAGTCCCAAGTCCTTGATTTCAAATTCTTTGGAAAGGAGGGCCTTGAGTCTCCGTATTTCTTCTTCATGATTCCCTGTGAGTACTATGTCATCGACATACACGCTTAGGATTATTACCTTGTTGCCGGTATAGTGTTTGATGAACAAAGTGTGGTCGGCTTGAGATTGAGTGTAGCCATCAAGTTTTAGTACTTTTGTGAATCTGTCGAACCATGCTCGGGGCGATTGTTTAAGCCCATACAGTGACTTTCTGAGCTTGCATACCTTTCCCTTTGTGCGATCACCCTCGAACCCAGGAGGGATATCCATATACTCTTCTACTAGATCTCCATTCAGGAATGCGTTTTTCACATCTAATTGGAGCAGTGGCCAATCTTGGTTTACGGCAATAGATAGTAGAACACGTACTGTATTGAATTTGGCTACAGGTGCAAATGTCTCCTGATAGTCAATTCCGTATGACTGTGTGAATCCTTTTGCCACTAATCGTGCCTTGAATCTGTCTATTCTTCCGTCTGCCTTTTGTTTGACTGAAAAAATCCATTTGCATCCAACCGTATGCTTTCCCGGCGGTAAAGGTGTTAGACTCCATGTTCCATTTTTTCAAGTGCACTGTACTCTTCCAAGGTTGCCGCTCGCCATTCCGGGACTTGTAGGGCTTCTTGAACTGTTGTTGGGATCTGAATTTTGTCGAGAGCTGTCACAAATGCCCTGAACTTTTGGGACAGGTTTGCATAGGTCAGGTGATTACAGATGGGATGCTTAGTGCATGACCGGACTCCTTTTCTCTGAGCAATGGGCAGCTCTAAGTCTGAGTGTTGTTCCGCGGGCTTCTCTGTATATTCACCGTCAATTTGCATACTAAGATCCACTTTACCTTGTGTTGTCTCAGAATTTCTTGAACTCGGGATTGGGTCATGATGTTGCTGACCTTGTTCAGGCAAGTGCTTTCTTCGGATAAATACTTTTATGGCATCATTAGGAAGAGTGAGATGATTGGGATATGGAATTGAATTGGCTGAAGATGGACTTGGTGGAGGAGACATGTTTGGCCGAGGAGGAGGTGGACTTGGCCGAGAGCTTTCTGGACTTGATGAGGATATGTTCGGATCAGGTAGGCCAGAGAGAGTAGGAGAAAGTGAGCCATAGTCAATGAGGGAAGTCCAGTCCCAATTTTGTGGTTCATGTGTGCTAATCTCCCCCTGAAGCTTGAAATTGGAGAAGTAAGGTTTGTTTTCAAAGAAGGTGATGTCCATCGTATGATAGAATTTGTTTGTGGTAGGTGAAAAACATTTGTATCCCTTTTTGTTTGATGAATACCCCATGAAGATGCACTTGAGTGCTCTTTCATCAAGTTTACTACGATTATGAGAATGAATATGAATGAATGCAGTGCATCCGAAAATTTTGAGGGGAACTTGTGTGATCAAATGTGATTTTGGGTAGCACTTTAGGAGAGTTTCCAATGGGGTTTTGAATGTGAGTATACGTGAGGGCATCCTATTTATGAGATAGGTGGCAGTGAGGACTGCTTCACCCCAGAATTTTTTGGGAACATTGGATTGAAATAGTAGGGATCGGGCCACCTCTAGGATATGTCGATTTTTGCGTTCAGCCACCCCATTTTGTTGTGGGGTATCTACGCAGGAACTTTGATGAACAATGCCATAGGATGTGAGGTAGGGACCAAGGATGGAATTGAAGAAATCCCGGGCATTATCTGTTTTGAAGATTTGGATGTTTGTTTGAAATTGTGTTTGGATCATCTTATGGAAGTTTTTGAATATTTGGCTGGTTTCTGACTTGTCTTTCATGAGGAATGTCCAACTTATACGGGTATGATCATCTATTAATAGTAGAAACCATCTTGCTCCGGTGATATTTGGAATTTTGTTTGGCCCCCAAATATCACCGTGGATGAGGGAGAATGGATGAGTTGGTTTGTATGGACGGGGTGAGTAAGTGCTTCGGGTGTGTTTAGATAACTGGCAAATATCACATTGAAGAAACTTGGGATTTTTATTGATGAATAATGATGGAAACAAGTGTTTCAAGTACATGAAATTTGGATGACCTAACCTATAGTGCCACATTAAGATTGCACTATCTTTATTTGTGTGACTCATGGACTCTAGACTATTGGCGGACCAACATTGTGGGCTGACATCTGTTTTATTGGCCTGGGAGCAAACTGAGGTGGTGGCTGAGTTGAGAAGGTACAAGCCTGCACATAGGTCAGCACTGCCAATCATCTTCCCCGAACTCAAGTCCTGAAAAACACAAGATTTAGCAAAAAACTTAGTCTCGCAGTTGAGTTCATTAGTCAATTTGCTCACAGAGATTAGGTTACAGTCTAAGTCAGGAACAAACAAAACTGAGTTGATGGTAAGAGTCTTTGAAAGCTTTATGGTTCCTGTTCCAGCCACTTGTGAACGTGTACCATTGGCTATTCGGACTGTTTGATAGTCCTGACATGGAATATAACTTGTAAATAGCATTCTATCACCTGTCATGTGATTAGAGGCTCCTGAGTCGACTATCCACGGTGACGGTGACTTGGCTACATGGAGTGCGAGATTCCTTGTGCCCTGTGATGACCCTTCTGCCGAGATTTGTGCCTGGTTGATCAGCTGTTGCAGTGTTTCCAGTTGGTCTTTAGTGAAGGGAACCTGGCTTTGAGACCTTGTGGATTCTGCTGTGGCAATATTTCCACGGCTGTCACGATCTCCAGAGTTACGACTTGGCTTCCAATCGGAGGGTTTTCCGTGTAGCTTCCAACATGTTTCTTTCGTGTGGCCTGGCTTCTTGCAGTGGTCACACCAAGGGCGTCCTCGACGAGAGTTCTGTGGTATCCCGCGAATAGCAAGAGCGGCTGGCTCTAACGAAGACTGATTCTCTCGGGTTGCCGCAAGGGCTGATCCATCAGGGATTGAATCGGATCGTCCCATCATAATTCGCTTGCGGCTTTCCTCCCGACGTACCTCAAAAAACACTTCTCGAAGACTTGGAATAGGTTTGGTGCCTAAAATTCGTCCGCGTACTTCATCAAGAGATTTGTCCAGCCCCATTAGAAATTTGAAGATGCGTTTGATCTCTACTATTTTCTTGAAGTATTTGCTGTCATCCGAGCACTTCCACTCGTGAGTTTCGAATAAATCCAGCTGCTGCCAATACCGCGTCAAAGTGGTGAAGTAGGTGGTTATTGGTTGATCTCCTTGTCGTAGGTCTTGGAGGATACTCTCCACATGGAAAAGTTCAGCAGTATTTTCACTGCTAGAGAAGGTGTCACGGACTGCATCCCAGATTTCATTGGCAGTCGTGTAGAGAAGGAAATTCTCACCTATTTCCGTCGTCATTGAACTGATTAGCCAAGACATGACCATATTATTTTCTGCTCTCCATGTCCTAAATTTAGGATCACTGGTGCCTGGTTGGACAGCGGCACCGGTGATATAGTCATCACGGCTTCGTCCACTAATGAACATCATCATGGTCTGAGACCATTGAAGATAGTTGTGTCCATTAAGTTTGTGGCTGGGGATGGGAGTAAGATTATGGTCATTTGTGGTCTGGGGATTGGAAGAAACATTCTGAGAGACAGAGGATGAGGAGTCTCCGGAGGTTTGGTCGGATTCGGCCATGTTGAGGGTTGGCTAGAGATGACGGCTAGGAAATTAGGGTTTTGAGAACCTAGGGCTCTGATACCATGAAGTTTGGAATAATATGAATTTCCTCTCTCATTAATTGAATGGACCGGAAGGGTATTTATACAAAAGCAAAAGATAAGATCTTATCCTAAGAGACCTCCTAGATATTAGGAACTACTTTACACATTTATAGGGATTAGCTTACAACAGATCCTTAGCTATTATCCCACGATTCTAGGAGCATATCACTTATCTAATACTCGGCTAGTTTGAATTTCAACACATATCATTGCTTCAGATAAAAGGATCTGTACTGATATTGCAATTTTTATTTTTTATTTTTTAAATAAGATACAACTTATTTCATTGATAACCAAAAATTACAACACAATAGAGGACTAGGGATCCTCCAATACATAATAATAAAAGGACAACCTTGACTCAAAATTCTAAAATCAAAATGATGCCCAGGGAGATCCCAAGTGTACCAGAAACTGCTTTAAATGGCCCCAACTGTTAAACGGAGTATTGTACTTTTACTGTTTCCCTATACCATTTGTAGCACTTTCATCTTTGAACTTATTTTTGACAATTTTGTATCTGCACCTGTTTAGTGTTTGCATCTATGTCCAATGAGCAACGGAGTTGAAATCAATTATGGATTTCTTTTGGTGAATTTTTGTTCCTTTTCCCTTGTGGGATATTATATAATTGCCAAAAAATCATATGACCATTCTTTTAGAAAGGTATAGTTAAAGTTTCATTAATATAAACCCCAGTAAGAAAATTCATTAGAAACTTGGCAAATCTGCATTTGTTCGATTTAATTGCACAAACTAATTACAGGCCAAACTGTAATTCTTGTCACTATCTTCTTTCACTTTGTATCCTATCAGTGTTTTTTTCCTCTTCTGTGGGCACAAATTGTAAATCTGATTCCTTGTCTTCCCTCTGCATTTCCATGCATTCTAACACCATGCCCAAATCAAGAAGTAGCAAAGATGATAGCAGATTTGAATAATGTGAAACTAGTAGTGGTTTATTTTTATTCTCATTATTAAAGCCTTCAACTTTTCCTTCTTTTTTTTATTTTTATTTTTTTTTTCCCGCTCGCTATTTCTTTGAACCTACAATTGATAGGTTCAAAATCATTTTAGTGACTTTCAGTTGAGTATTACATGACTATTGGACTATTTCGTTTTTTGTTGTGCCAGGGGGTCTCTGCTGTTTCATTAGTTGTCTCTCTGTAGCTCTTTTTTCTTTGGTTTTGTTGATGGACTTTGCGTCCATTTCTTTTGCTTTGTATTTCTCATTTTTGTTATAAATAAAGTTTTTGAGTTTCTTATAAAAAAATGGATTATTTGACTTTGTGTGAATACCTTCAAAACAAACACCTTCAAGTTGCCCGTTTCTTATCAAAAAGGGGAAAAAAAAAAAACCTTCAAAACAAACTGGACCAACAATTATTAACAGTAATGGTGATAAGAATTTATGGGAGAAGTTATGTTTTGCGCTGCAGTTGTTGTATGAAGATAATAGTTTTTGTGCTATTTTTAAATACGGATTTGCTTAGGGAGTTACATTTGTTGATGTAGACTCCTTTTTTTTTTTCTCTTTTTTTTTTGGTCGTTCTTCCAGGCGGACATCTTGCCCTCCTTGTTTTGTACTTCATGAGTTCTTTTGACTAATGGCATTCCTTTTCACAAAAAAAAAAAAAAAAGAGAAAGAAAAGAAAAGAAAAACAAATTTTGGTGCATTTAGAATTTCCCTTATGACTTGTGTTTAAGATATGTACTAAGTATTCATATATGTCGCATCAAAATCAAATTGGAAGAGCCAAAATGCCTGTGAAAGAAATTGCAAATTTCCCAACAGACTACCGAGTGCACAGAATTTTGAACCCAGAGTTTTATTTTGAGTATGTACTTGTGGTTTTAACCTTTGAATTGCCAGAGCACGTTTCTTTGCCAGCCTACTTTTAACTATTTTCTATCTTTTCATTATAAATTGGACTCTGACTCCCGATCATCTTTTCTTTTCTACTAAGTACTATCTTTTTCATGTAGGTGGTGGGGAACTGTATACTTGGGGTTCAAATGAAAATGGATGTCTTGGTATCGGGTATCTTTCCTTCCAGGATTTGAAATGCATCTTTAGACAGATGTGTTCACTGAGAATAATTACAGGGGTGCTGATGTGTTAATCAATTTTGTGTTTTCAGTACTACAACTGTCTTTCATCAACCTGAAAGAGTTCAAGGTCCTTTCTTGGAGTCTACCGTTAGCCAGGTTATATTACTCTATGTGCATAAGCATCTTTGAATGGTTGTTTCTACTACTTTTAGGTTTTAATTTGTGAAGTGAATGAAATCTTCTGCTTAGCATTTTCTTGAAATCTCAAGGTGGTTTTGCTGACAGTCTGAAGTATGGTGAGAAGTTTGTCAAACATTAACTAGAACTTTCATAAGTAGCTTCATATTCCATAGCTTCTCCTCCAAAAAACTTTGTCAATCTTGGACACCATCTTTTCTCCCCTTATACTTAAGATTCCATAGCTTCCTTCCCTTAAGTTGATATCCAAACTTTGTTTTCCCGTAACAAAAGCAAGTTGTGAATCTATTCCAATGACCACCCCTTAAGCTAATTGAAAACACTTTACTCAGGACTTTCTGGAGATGAGAGGTTACATCAGGTTTGAAATCTTGAATTTAACTTGAATTTAGCTCCTTTCAAATGAGGTGGATAAAGTCGCTGGTAATGTCGTTCATAATGCCATTGCTAGAATAACTCCCAAAACTTTCATCAAATTCTATTTCTAATAAGCAATGTGTTTGGGGTAGTGGTACCTGGCACCACATGAGTGGGTGTGGGGCCTGCTGATGAGCTCCATACTTTTCTCTTTCAACCAGGAGACCATACTTTTCTCTTTTATGGTTCAAAACATTTTTCTCTTTCAAATATTTTGAGTTTTCATTGACAGAATTGTCAATTGTATATTATGCGCAATTTTTGACAAATGTTCATTTACAGGTCTCTTGTGGTTGGAAGCATACAGCAGCAGTTTCTGGTAAGGTGTCTCTCTCTTTTTTTTTTTTTTGGGTGGTGGGGGGGAAGGAAAGAAGCTTCATGTGACCAAGTCGTATGACATTGTCTCATCTGTATGTACTAAATACTTGTACGCCCGTAGACATTATAAACACCTGAACTTTCCAATGAAAGTGTAATTGCCGAGAGAATTTTGCATTTATTGGTAGATTATTTATAGGTACTTCTTTCTGATAATGGGGGATCAAATATTAAATTTTTAGATAATATAGTTGTCATTTTTGACGTCGTGATTGAAGGTGTTAATGGAAGATGAAACTGCTAACAATATGCTCATGCAGAAAGAATGTGGGCAATGGTTATTCACAAAATACTTCTAGATGTTTATGTGTTTTCCACTTTGCTGATAGTGACATTATGTGTATACCTTAGCGGTATTACTCACATTATCCAACAATGTCAGACAAGTGGGAAATAATGTCTTTAGCTCTTTCCCATTCTCCCTAATGCTCTAAAAATTGATAATGCTGCAGTAATGTTATCAGTTTAGCAATGTCAATTTTTAATCTAGAGTCGCAAGTTGTATGTTCTATAGATCTGGGTGTCCTCTAAGGTAGTTTGTAGGCCACTTAATCCACTCCACTTTGTTCTTTCTGGGAGTGTCCGTAGCAGACAACCGGTGGTAAAGACATTTTAGGTGCAACAGTAAGAAGATGACATTTTAGGAGCCTTTGAGAACTGAGTTGGTCTCTCCCGCTTTTTTTTTTTTGTTTTTTTGTTTTGTTTTTGTTTTAAGGATAATAAGATTTCACCTCAAATTGTCATATGCTGGTTAAGCATAAAATTGTCTAACCTCATCTGTACCCTATGCCTAATGTGAAAGTGGAAATGTGCAACTCAATTTTTTTTTTCTTTCTGCTTTCGTGTTTGACATGTTCACGGAAGCCAAAAGAAATCTATGTTATAGTGCTTCTATGTCCTATTTAAGCGATTAGTTACTTTAGGCTTTAGTTACTTTGGAATGCATTGGTGGTGCCTGCTTAATTCTTATATCATCATGTGCAGTTCTTCATTTCTTTTTCATTATCATTACAAAAGTATTTCTTTAATAAAAGGATATGTGGACCCTTCTATTTTTTTTATTTTTATTTTTATTTTTTTTTTGTGAGGACTAATTGGAGAAAATAACTTCAATTGCTTGAAACCAGAAGGAAATATTTTCACTTGGGGTTGGGGAGGTTCGCATGGAACATTTTCTGTAGATGGACATTCTTCAGGAGGGCAATTGGTATGCTTCCATCTCTCTTTATATCATTTGCTATTGTCTTTTCGAGTTTTGTTCAACACAAGAAACTTGCATGAGCAGTCTTGGTATTTTCAAAATCGTTTTGCTTACAATTAAGAAGTGTTATTCTGACTCTAGCAGAAGAAGCGGCTTGTCAATTGACATTGTTATGAATATTTTGTCTTGAAAATCTATTTGGTTTCCAAAGAACAAAGTTATATTACTTTCTCCACGTTCATCTGCCTTTCAATTTACAACAATAATAAATAATGAGACATTTAAGCATGTGAGAACCATGTAGAAGCTTCTTGACAATAAAGCATTAAAATTTGAAATTAAAAATGAGTAATTTGCACCCCTGGTCCTTCAACTCTTTAGTAGGTGACTTTTTTCTTTTTTTTCTTTTTTTTTTTTTTTAAATTTTGGCAAAAAAACCCCTTAACTCTTAAATCATTGGCAATTGATGGACATCTGTCCATTTTTGTTAAGTTTCTAATGGAACATATCATTATTATTATTTTTTTTATAAGAAACAAGAATTTATTGAATAATAAAAAGATGAAAAGAGCACAAAGCAGGGGACAAGATGTCCACCAACAACCAGGATAAATAAAAGTAAAAAGAAACCAACAAAATCTCAAATCAACTCAAAATAATATCCCAGCCCCTAAGCAAATCTGAGAATGAAATGCCACATAAATTTTTCGACTGAGACAACCGTAGTGCAACCTAGTAATTAATTCTATCCCAAACATTAGAAGAGTTTCCTCAGATGTCCTCAAAGACACGATTATTCCGTTCTAACCACAAAGACCATGTAACAGTAAGGGCAACAACATTCCACAATCTCCTAATATTCTTTGTACTTTCATATAGAAAGTCGCAGCCAAATAACTCTGAGATATTGTTAGGGACTACCCAAACAATCCCAAACTTTTCCAGAACACGCTGCCATATACCCATAAAAAATGGACAGTGAAGAAAAAGGTGATCCCCGTTTCGTTAGCATTTCTGCAGAAAACACACCAGCTAGGAGATAGGTGCAAGTACGGCTTTCTCCTTTGTAACAAATCACAAGTGTTAAGTCTACTTGAGACAGGCAACCAATTAAAAATTTGTACTTTAGTAGGAACCGAGACGCTCCAAATAAAAGGACAAAAGGCTAAAGGAAGGAAAGGATTGATCATCAAGAGAGATTTACAAGAAAATGACCCCGACCCCTCCAGAATCCACACCCACCTATCACAAATAAACTCGGTCAATCTTACACCCTCTAGACAACCCAAAAGCTCCATGATTTCACCCAATTCCCTATCACTAGGCTCCTTACTAAAATGGAAGTTCCAGGACACTGTACTAACCTCTCTAAGAGTGTAAAATGAGGGGATAGCTAAGTTATAAAGGGATGAGTTCCTATAAAGACTTGGAAATCGATCAGAAAATGACTCCTCTCCAACCATACATCTTCCCAGAACCTTAACCTCATTCTGTCCCCCACCATAACCTTGATGTTTGCTTTAAACTCATGCTGCAGTTTTTGAATAGCTTTCCAGGGACTCCTAAATGTTGCTCTACCACAAAAGCCTGATTCCCATACTCCAAAACTCGACCCAAACTTGCTTCTATTCACTCTGCACCACAATGAATTACTCTCCTTTGGAAATCTCCAAAGCCATTTTGACAAAAGGGCTTTATTATGGGGAATCAAATTACCAATCTCCAAGCCACCCTTCTCCTTAGGTTTGCAAATTTCAGCCCAAGTTACAAGATGATCTGGTTTTGTCTCCTCACAACGTCCCTAAAAAAAATTCCTCATTAATCTTTCAATCTTAGCTGCAACTAAGGTGACAAAACCGATCTAGTTAACATCAATCTCCCTCCACGAGAGAGAACCGATCTCTTCCATCCTTCAAGCCTCTTTGCCACCTTTGAAAGAACCGATTCCCAAAAAGATGATCTAACCGGATTCCCACCTAAGGGTAAGCCAAGATATTTAATTGGCCATCCCCCCACCGAACAACCTCCAATGGCAGCTAGACTTGCCACTTCCTCCACTTCCATATTGATGCCCAAAATTACACTTTTTGCCAAATTAACTTTTAGTCCAGAGGCCAAACAAAAAGTATCAATGATGGCCATCAAAGGTCGAAGATTATCCTCATCATTATCCAAGAAGAAAGAGTATCATCTGCGAATTGTAGATGAGATACCTTTATCCGCTCTATTTCAACTTCCAAGCACTGAAGCACACCATGATCAACCGCTTTGTCCATCAACCTCTCAGGAGCATCGGCCACCAAAGTGAATAAAAACGGAGATAGGGGATCGCCTTGTCTTAATCCAACTTTCCTCATGGTCTTCCGTTTATGATTACCGGAAAGGAATCCAAACAACCTTTAATCCCCTTTCTCCATTTATTCCCGTAATCCTTCTTCTCAAGCACAAAGTCCAAAAAATCCCACTCTACATGGTCATAAGCCTTCTCAAAGTCAATTTTAAAAAACCACCCCTTCCTTGCCTCCCGCCCTCTAATCCTCCACCACCTCATTAGCAATAAGCGCAACATCTAGGATTTGCCTACTAGCAACAAATGCTCCTTGTGCTTGCGAAATCGTACTTTCCATAACGCCCTTTAAATGGGAGGCTAAGACCTTAGAGATGATCTTGTATAAACTACACGAATTGTCTAAAGTCACTAATTTTGCAAGATTTAGTCTTTTTAGGGATAAGGCCAATATATGTCTCATTAGTGACTCCGTTGACCACACCATTCAAATAAAATTCCTCCTAAACTTCCATTAGCTCATCTTTCACCATTTCCCAACAAGTTTGGAAAAATGCTATAGTGTAACTATCCGGTCCTGGAGACTTATTCCCATCACATTCAAAAACAACCCTCTTCACTTCGTCTACCCCAAAAGGCTTCTCCAATTTCTCTGCTTCCAAGTTTGAAATTGGGCTCCAATTTAAACCTTCTATCCCTCTAATCTGCCCTTCTGATGAAGTGTAGAGATTCTCAAAAAAGGAACAAATCTCATGAACAATGTTCTTTTCACCTTCCACGATTCTCCCATCCACCGTTTCTAATCTAGAAATTGTGTTATGAGCTTTCTTAGCGTTCATCAGCTTGTGGAAGAGTTTGGTATTAGCATCTCCATCTCTAGCCCAAGAGAATTTTGATTTCATCGCCGCTGCCCTTTTCTCCCTAAATAGCAATGCATTCAAATCTTTCTTCACATTAACCCTCTCCTCCACGGCTCCACCAACTCATTAGACCACTCGGAACTCCCCTCTTTCTTATCAATCTCCTCAATTCTTTTATACCTCTTCAACTTTTCTACTCTCAAATCTCCAAAAACCTCCTTATTCCACTCTTTTAACTGAGGTCTCAAACTTTTGAGTTTCTTCATGAACTTGTACCCTGCCCACCCTTGAAAAGACTCCTCTCCCCACCATCCCGCAACATCTTTTTTGAAACACCGGTGATCTAAGCGCATGTTTTCAAACCTAAATGGGGAAGGTCCCATTTCGAAGGACTCGTAGTTAAAATAATCAGGCAATGATCCGACACTATCCTCACGGCCGTCTCGTGCCTAATAAAATTGTGCATGTTGCCGAACTCTACAGAAAATAAAAATCTGTCTAGTTTACAGCAAATGGGCTCGTCCCTAAAGTTTGACCATGTATATGAGGCATTGATAAGTGGGGGGGTCAATGACTTCCATCTCATGAACTGACACCGAAAATTCTCTGATCATACTTTCCAAAACATGCACCCTTCTGACATCCCATATTACAAAAATTCCTCCTGATCTGCCCTTAGAAGGAAGAAAGACCTCTTTAAATCTTGCCCTCCAAATACTACCTATGAACCTCCTGTCTATCTCGAATATTTTACTTTTTTTTAATAAATAAGTAAGAAACCATATTAATTAATTATACTATTTATTATAGTATAGTAATTATAGTTATAAGGTTGAACATTTGCTATTATGTTTATAATGATCATATATTATATTTTAATATTATAATGAATAGTATTAAGTTTATACTGAAAAATAATGCAACACTAGCAAATCTGGACTTTCCTTGCAAATTACTTCCTTTATGCTGCTTCTCTTCAACGAGCAGCAGCTACCCCGAACATTCCATGTCATTAGCTTCATTTATCACTGTTTATACCCCTTTTGCTCGCAGACTTATCATAGTTAACGTTAAAAGCCAAGTTATGCAGCTCTCTATTGCCTCCTCTCTTTCTCGCTGTCTTTCCAACCTTATCTTCCATTTTACTCTCTTCCGTAGATACCAACTTAAGCTTCAACTTATTCAACAATTTCTTCACATATCCCCATTGAATTAATCTGCCGTTAACTTCCACTAACCCGTCCGTAATTTACCCACTCTTATTCAATATCCCTTCAATTTCGCTATGCCCTTCGCCCGCCTGAGTCTCCCTGTTTTTTGTTGCTCTGTCTCGCTCCTCTCCTTGACCCCCTCCACAGTACCCTCCTTGGGCACTCCATTTACTTTGACAAATCGGATCTGGAGTGGCCAACATAGAAAACATGGGTAAAAACTTTGCTCTAGATCTCGAACATAATACTGACATATCTAGATTTTGCATTATTTTGGTAAATATTGGCCGAAAATTGCCTAGTGTTAGACATCTATTAAAAAACAAATGTTGTCCTGTATATCTTACCTATGTCAACATTTTGTTGTCAATCTTCATTGTGCACATTTTTAGCATTTTACATTTTCCATAATCCTCGATACCAACAAGATCTATCAGTTACGTCGTTGCTGATTGACTCTACACATTTCCGTCTGTTGATGTAGCATCCAAGTGGCAGAGATTTACTTCAATAACTTATAAATTGTAGGGTTCAAATAATGGGCGTAGCAAAAGATAGTATAGTTCTTGTTCATTCTTCAATCTGTCTTCTGGCAATGTGCAGCAGCAGCTCGGTTGAAACTTAATTTGTCAATTTTTCGAGTACGTTTAGATTTGCGCAGAATACAGAACCTAGTATAGATTTATGCCGGCTTTGTTCGAATTTCTAATAAACTATATCAAATTAGGCACTACGATAATAAATAGCAACCATTTTAACTTGCTTCAAAGTCCCTTTTTATTCAGTTATTCTCTAATGATTGCACATTTGCATGGATTATGTTAAACTAATGCATTAGTTTCTTTTGTGTTGGACGGTTTTTCCTCGCTTTCTTTCTGCTGCGAAGTTATCTGTCTAATATCGGATTTTGCATGTAGGGCCATGGAAGTGATGTTGACTACATAAAACCTAGAATGATCAATTTTGGAGAGAATGTGAGAGCCGTACAAGTATCATGCGGATTCAATCATACTGGCGCCATACTCGAACACGTCTAGAAGCTAAAAGCTTTGACTGCTTGTGGTTTGCTTCATCTTTTCTTGCACAGATGTATATCTTCTTATGTCCATTCTTTATTCTTGTAACACATTGTTTACATGTCATTGGACGCGGATACTGGAAAAGTACATATTTTATACCTTTCCACAATAATATAGATTACACCAATGAAATTAATGTACAATAAAATGTCAGACACAACAAAAGGTACAATAAGAGATTTGATGTTTCAAGTGCTGCTTGTAACTGTATATCAATACACTACTTTTAACATTATGCCACAAAGTTCATAAAAAGAAAGGATGACATTATGCCATAAAGAACAAGCTAGGTTGTGTTTATTTTATTATTTATATTTTTAATATAATTACTAAAATGTTAAAAACATGCATTGTGTTTTGTTTTGTTTTGAAATAACCTCGAGTTCTTAGAAAGGAAAAATATCATTTTTGCACCATATGGCCTAAAAGTTTTGCAAATCTGATATTGAGATTTGGAACACTTCATTAAGAAAAGAAAATCACTTTTCTTTTCTGAAATCCTTCTAACTAATACCTTGGTCATTACAGGTTGTTCTAATTGGAGGAAAATGCTTTCATAGCCAAAAAAAAAAAAAAAAAAAAAGGAGAGAAAATTACATTAAATGACAAAATTGTCCATAACTTATTATTATTTAATAAAAGCGAGATAAAGCAGGTAGTTGTTATGAAAATATATTTTTTTTCTATTTATGTTTTTCAGAAAAAACGGTTATGCCTTTCATTTTTTGTATTTACTTATTATCTATGCTTTTTTTTTTTTTTTACTTATAGTTTAAGAAAAAACACTTTAATTTGTGTTTCTATTTTATACTCTTCATCTTTTATATATTTATGCCTTTTATCTTTTATTCTTTTACTTACTTTTTATATGCTCTTTCCTCTTACAATTCAAGAAAAAATGATCCAATTTTTATTTTCATTTATGCTCTTCATCTTTTATATTTTTTACTTATTTTTTTCTCTTTTCTCTTTCTTAGAGCTTAAGAAAAAGTTGTTTAATTTTTTTATCTATTTATCCTCTTCACCTTTTGTACTTTTTTTTACTTGTTATCCAATCTTTCCTCTCACTTAGAGTCTAAGAAAAGTGGTTTAATTTTTATTTCTATTTATACTTTTTATCTTTTATACTTTTTATTTACTTGTTATCTATTTTCTCTTATTTAGGGCTAATAATGTTTATATTACGACGATCAAATTATAAGTATAACTTATTTGTTTTTATCATTAAATTATTTCTTTAATAGATAATAAATATGATAGTTAAATTTATGTCTTATTGTAAATGGCACGTGCGATAGTTATCTACTATATAATAAAAGTCTCTTAAAGCATGTAGTTATCATGGAATATTTTTCTCCCATCTTTTCCCTTCTTTTTGCTTTTTTGCTTTAATAATTGATTGTTTGCTTGCTTGCCTCTAGTTGTCCTTTCTCTTGAAGAAAGGACAACATGCTTCGCTTTGCTTTTGAGGAGCAATACTTGATGAACAACTATTGGTGAATTTATCGGCGATGGTTGACTGAGTAATTGTGTTCATACCAGAGTTAGCCGAACGTATGGAGCAAGCAAGAGGATTAACTGATGTTTTTCTGAGGAAAACATGTACGAGGACTGTCTATTGAACATCTATTGGTAAATTTTTCGACTGGGTATGATTGTGTTCATTTTCCAGCACTTTACATTCTTGTTCTAGTAATATATTGACTCAAATTGACCTGAATTGACTCACCAACGCGATCGAGTTCTAAGTGCGGTCATTGGCCCTCTATATAAATTTAGTTGTAGAATCCGACCTCTACGATTTGGCGCCCACCGTGGGGCCTATAGTTGATATTTCGAAAAACGATCGCCTTCGACGTCCGACGCCATGAATGAGAATAATAACAACGCGCCAGCGGCAAGCTCCGGAGCGACACAGGAAACTAGATCTACTCAAACATCTAACGAGCAGATCTTGACAGTAATTTTGCAGTAGCAAGAAGATAGCAATAGGAGTATTGCTCAATTGATCACAGAAAATGAAGAGCTCCGCAGACGACTCGATGCTAGTTTCACTTTCAACACCTCGTCAATTGCCCAAGGAGGAGCATCTCAGACCACAACGCCAGCATTGTCGAATCCGTTTAGTCCGATTCACCAGATTACGTCTCTCACCCCGCTCGTGACTCCACTCAGGACGACTTCCCAGGTCACCCAGTCGATTGCGACTGACTAGATGATGAACACAACGATAGAGATATTGGACTTAGTTCTTTTAAGATAACCAAGTACTGTACTAATTGCATTTCAATGTTAACACCTGAGTTACTCGTAAATCTTGACAATTTGTAAACTGCAAAAGCAATGTCTGGTCTTGTACAATGTATATCATACATTAAATTACCAATCGCACTAGCATATTCAAGTTATGCTACCGCTCAACCTGCATTCTCTAATAATTTAATACTAAAATCGTATGGGGTATTCACTTCTTTAAATTTCAAATGATTAAATTTAAGAAGCACATTCTCAATATAATGAGATTGACACAATGAGTAACCCCATTTTGCTTCTTCACTTTCACACCTAAGATAGTATCTACGTCACCAAGATCTTTCATTTTAAATTGTGAAGTTAGATACTTCTTGGAGTCATTTATCCCGTGCATATTTGTTCTAAAGATAAGCAAGTCATCAATATACAAACATATAATAACACCCAAATCATTTGTGAATTTAGAATATATACATTTATCCGCATTATATACTTAAAACCATGAGATAAAATAACATTATCAAATTTGTCGTTGTTTTGGTGCTTGCTTTAATCCATAAAGCGGCTTGACTAATTTGCAAACCTTTTTTCTCATTTCCAGGCAATACAAACCCTTTGGGTTGTTCCATATAGATTTCCTCATCAAGATCACTATTTAGAAAAAGCTGTCTTCACATCCATTTCATGCACATGCAAATTATATATTGATGCAATTACAAATAACAGTCTCATAGATGTTAATCTTGCTACTGGAGCATATGTATCGAAGTAGTCTATACCACACTTTTGTTTAAAGCCCTTGGCTACCAATGTAGTCTTGAAAGTTTGTATAGACCCATAAGTATTGTATTTTCTTCTAAAAACCCATTTGTTGCTTATCAGTTTCGATCCCAGTGGGAGATAAACTAAGATACAAGTTTGATTTGACATAGTTAAATCCATTTCAATATCATTCACAGTCTTTCTCCAAAAGGAGGCATCCCTTGAAGACATAGCTTCACTAAATGTATATTTAACAACAATAGTATTTTGTTAAATACACCATTTCTATCTCCTTTGACTAAAAAAGTTAAAGCTTGAGATGAAATAAAATTCGGTGCTAAGATCTTTTCTTTTCTTTCGCGTTGACTTCTCCTCGATTCGAAAGATGTGATACACTCTTTACTTTTGTTTATTTTACTCTTTCCTTTTGTTATTAGTGGAGGTACCGGGAGTATAGTCACATGATTGATCAACATTAGATTCTAATTTAGTGGAAGAATCAAGACTAAATTTGTTCTTAATGAATTCAACATCTCTTGTTTCCACAATTACATTAGAATCTAGATTCAATAATCTATATGCCTTGGAATTTTCAGCTTACCCTACGAAAATACTTTGAATTCTTCTAGCACCTAACTTTGATGATTTAGGTTCAACCACTCTATAGAAGGCGAAACAGCCCCACATCCTTAAATTCATCAAGTTTGGTTTTCTTTCTTTCCATACTTCATATGAAGAAACATATATTTTCATAGATCTAATCCTATTATGAACATGACATGCAGTAAGTAATGCTTTCCCCCCATAAGTTATTAGGCAATTTAGCATTAAGAAGCATAGAGTTAATCATATCCGTAAAAATTTTATTCTTTCATTCAACCATATCCGTAAAAATCCTATTCTTTCTTTCAACCAAACCATTTTAATGAGGAGTGAAATGGGTTGACCTTTGGTGAATAATACCATACTTTTCACAAAAGGCATCAAACTCATTTGAAAAATCCCTATCACTTCGAACAATTTTGATCTTTCTATCTTTTTGGTTCTCAACTTTAGCCTTGTAAAGTTTAAATTTATCAAAGGCTTCATCTTTTATTCTAAGCAAGTACACATAAGTGTATCTAGAATAATTATCAATAAAAGTGATAAAGTATGTCTTTCCTATTCTTATTAAAAGACCGTTATACTCATAAATATCGATATGAATCATATCTAATATTTTAGTATTACGTTTGGCTCTAGGAAAGGGTTTCTTAGTCATTTTTACTTGTATACAAATCTCACATTTATCATGTTTTATGTCTTTACAACTAATCAAACCATGTTCAGACATGTATTTCAAAGATCTATAATTTAAGTGTGCTAAACGAGCATGCCAAACATGAAACGGAATTCATATCATCTTTATTATCAATGCTAAGTTTGTACATGTCATTACAAGAATATATGTTTCCCACAAAAGTCTCATTTTTTGATACAATACAAGTATTGCCCTCAATGACAATCTTAAGCCTGTTCTTACACATACGATTAGCAGATATAAGATTCTTTCTAATATCGGGAACATAAAGAAAATTGTTCAAAGTAAGCTTCTTCCAGGAAATAAAGTTAATCTCCACCACGCCCTTTCCGGCAACCATCGTTGCATCATTGTTCCCCATGAGAATCGATTGTCCTTCCTTTTCCATTTTGTATGATGAGAACAATTTCTTGTCATTATAAACATGGATTGTGGCACCGGAATCAAGTCACCATTCGAAGGATTTGGTTACAAACATGTTGGTTTTGATAATCATGCCAATTTGCATCTCCATGACCATAACACATATGTCTTTATATTTCTCTTCAACTGTAGTGGCTATGTTGGTGTTAACTTTTTCTATTTTCTTCTTGTACCTGCAATCACTTTGGCGGTGGCATTTCTTTCCACAAAAGAAGCAATTTCCAAAAAACTTCTTTTGGCAATTACTGGTCTTCTTGAACTTCTGGTCATTATTAACTAAAAGTTCTTAGAAAACTTACTTGTTTCGGCAACATTAACTTTAGAGGAATCAATAACCTTGCCCTTGGGATCATGAGACTTGGTCTTCTATTCAATCCTCAAGTATTTTTGTAATTCCTCCCAAATTTATGTCATCTCTCCTATGAAGGAATTTCTTTCTATAATCATTCCAACTTTGAGGTAGTTTAGCAATAATGGTCCCCACTTGCAAATGATTCAGAAATTTCCACTTTCAATTCACGAAGCTTAGTAACAATGACTTGCAATTCATGTATTTGATCAAGAACAGACTTGGTATGAACCATGGCAAATTCAAGATATTTCAAGATGAGGAATTTATCTGTACCTTCCTTCTCAGTTTTGTATTTGTATTTAAGAGCGTTATAAATCTCCACTGGAGACTCCATCGAGTTGTGGAGATCGTAAAGGCTATTGGAGAGAGTGCTGAAATGTGACCCTAGCACATGACTTCATCATCTTCACGCTTCTTCCTTGCAGCCTTCAACTCTTTGGAATCATCCTCCTTTGGTTTCGAAAGTGGCTCCAATTTAGGATCAAGCACGTATGCAATCTTGAACACGGTGGTGAAGTTGGTACCATTAAAATGATCAAGTTGGACATTCGGATTGAGGAAAGATGACATGTTCTTTTCAACCTCCATTGCAGCAACTTAAAACCTTAAAGATTGTTGAAAATTTTGAGTGTGGAGGATGAAAAGAATACATAAAATAAGAGGGGTTGAGGCGTACAAGAATACTTTCCTTTAAGGTTTATTTGCCCTCACTCTCAAAGTTTACTAATGAGTTTTAATGACAAATTACCCCCAAGATACAACAAACACTTGAGCACAATATCTAGCAATAATATTGTGTTCCAGAACAAGAAATTAGTCTGTATATTTTCTGGAGAATTAATAAAGACAGATGTGTCATTTTATGAATGAGCACATCCATTTCAATCATTACAACCATTCACATAAAAGTACATTTTTAATGTGAATGTATCTCTTCATGTATCAATGCATCTATTATAATATATATGTCTGTTGTTAGTAGGCATTCAAATTTGTGTGAAAACATATCTCCAATAGTTGTAAAGATTCGATACAATCCAAATCACATGTCACACACATGCACGGATTTCTAATGTGGGCGCTGCAGCGAAACCTTCATCCGCTATAGCGCTCGTGCCTGTGCTTCTCGGACCAGAGACTTCACATACTGTAGGCTGCAGCGCCCACATATGCGTTGCAGTGGTAGGGATAGGCCCTGCAACGCCAGTTTGTGGCGCTACAGTGCTCAGGCCTATGCAAGCTGCGCCAGTGAGGCGCAGCCCGTGGGCTACAGCGCCGGTACAACCATGGCAAGATGCCGTGGTGCTGCAAATCGATTCCAAACTTGTGTGACTTTGATTTTGAGACATATTACAATCTATCTAACAAATAATTTTGTTTTTTCAGCGTGGGGGATTCCTCAAAAAGACAACAACATTGTCCAACACAGGAAACATAAAAGTGTTTAACAAATGCCGATTGGCATTACACAATGATGGTACCAGACATCCGAGAGTAAAATTGCATTTAACTTTTTGACAATGGTTCAACTAAGCGCGTTTTTCTTGTATAATTCTTTTTTGAAAATGTAATTGTTTGTATATTAATGGAACAATAATAATTAATTTAAAGGTGGTTTTATTGCCACGCTCTTGTTTACTCTTCACACTCCCTTTCTAAATATACATCTTACATTATTACATTGTTAAAATTTCTTTTTATACACCCCTATTATTCCAATATTATTCTTAACTATTTTCCTAAGATTATTAATTCTTTACAACTTTATATTTTTACACCCTCCAGTTCATTTAAATTTGATACTTCAATATTATCATTTCTCTGTGCCTCTTTTTTTTTTTTTTTTTTTTTTTTTTTTTTTTTAATTTTTTTTTTTTTTTTTTCCTTTTTTTTTTTTTTTTTTTTTTTTTTTTTTTTTTTTCTATTCTCTAAAGACATTTATTATAGAAAATTCACTATTAATTATTAAATAGCAACGTCAACAAATGTAAATTTACTACCGTAAACATCCTTTATTTTCATAATAGTAAATTTTCTTTATGTCTGTGAAAATGTTCCATGTCTAGAGTTTTAATAAGAAAAGATAGTGAAATAATAATACTAAATTAAAGAATTAAAATAAAATAGTAGGTGTGAAAAGATAATTTTGAAACAATAAGATGTGCAAAAGTAAATTTAATAATGTGTAATTAGACGTGTAAAAAGTAAATTTAATAATGTGTAGTGTGTGTTTAGAATGAGAGTGTATTTTAATGCAAGTCAAGAAAGGGTTTATTAGATTGATCGAATATTTTGGTCTTCAATACCAATAATATGTTATAAAGAGCTAAGAAGGATATGAGATAAACTTAAAAGGAATAGTTGTGATGTACCGGAACTTAAAAAAAATAATAAGATAAAATAAAATAAAATAAATTAAATAAAGATCTATTGTGTAATACCGAAAATTAGAAAAAGGGTTAATTCTATAAATAGTCTCTGAAGTTTAACCTCAATTCTACTTTGGTCTCTAACATTTCATAATTAGTTTCTGTAATTTTATTTTGTTTCAGTTTCGGTATTTCTAACAACTAAGTGTTAAATATTTGACAAAATATGTGGAAATTAGAGATTAAAATTGGAAACATTTAAAATTTAGAGACTAAAATAATACAAAAACTAAAATTTAATTTCCACAAATAGTCCCTAAGATTTAATTGTTTTCAATTATGGTACCTAATTTACACAGATTTCATTAAATATTTAACACCGAGTCAACAGAAGGATTAAAATTGAAACAGAATAAAACCTCAGACACTAACTGTGGAACATTTTAAAAGTGAGAGACTAAAATGAGATTAAGGGTAAATTTCAGGGACCATTTGTGATATTAACCCTTAGACAAATAAGAATTATAAACACTAAAATTTCATTCATAAAAAAAAAGTTACCAAATTTCATTCATAAAAAATTTTACCTCTTAATCTAGATACAGATACGATGAGACTAACATATTTATGGGCTAAATTGCATCAAACGGCAAAGGAAACCTATAAATAAAATTAGAAAATGAATAGTTCCGAAAATGAAAAAAAAAACTAGCTTATATTTGACTCAAGAATTAAGCCAAAATAAAATTTAACCTTCTATGATCAAAGTATTGTAAAAATTAAACTTTCTTAATTGCAAAATTGCTAACTTTATTAATAATTAAGAAATTGCTAACATTATCAATTCCTAAGAATAGAATTTGACTTTCTTTTAACCATCGTATTTTTATCTAAGATTTTCAACTTTTCTCTCTCTCTCTCTCTCTGTTTTGAAAACAAAAGTTTAAACCTAGTTCATACAAAAAAAAAAAAAAAAAAAAAAAAAAAAAAAAACAAGAAGAAGAAAAGCTGTCCGAAACTCCAGCTCTTTTAAGTTTATTCTCAGCAAAAGAAGAAAACGGTCAAAAATCTTCTCTACCCGAAAATCAAAACTAAAATCTTATCCGGAATCAAAACTAAATCACCCTTATCCAGCAAGATATTTTGCCGTTGAGTGAGATTAGACCAATATATATATATATATATAGTATTTACCTGCATGTCAGATTCTTCTATTTAAACGATCCCATTCCACGCATCCTCTCATCAGAATAGAAAAACACACACTTAATCATAGGTATGGCTTATGATCAGTTCGATTCCTGGAATTACTTTTTCTTGTAGAGAAATCACTTTTTTTTTTCCTTTTCTTTTCTTTTAATCTCTTCTTTATCATGCATGCAGATCGGAGAGACGTCGAGTAAAATTACCATATGATGCAAAAGGCGATTTCAGTCCCTTTAGTGGGACTCTTTTTCATGATATTGTGCATGACAAGCGTAACAAAAGCAGCAGAATCAGAAGCGTACTTGAAATACAAGGATCCAAAGCTGCCCATAAATCGACGAATAAATGATCTTTTGGGACGAATGACTTTGGCCGAGAAGATTGGCCAAATGGCGCAGTTGGACCTTGAGAACCTCACGGCAACCACAATGAGGGACTACTCGATCGGCAGTATCTTAAGCGGCGGAGGGCACGTCCCGCGGCTGAGGGCGACGGCCGGTGACTGGATCAACAAGGTCAACGAGCTTCAACGTGCTTCACTTTCAAGTCGGCTTGGGATACCCATGATTTATGGTGTTGATGCCGTTCATGGCCACAACAATGTTTATAAGGCCACCATTTTCCCACATAATGTTGGACTTGGAGCTACAAGGTATATAGTAGTAACTTTAGTTTAAAATTTTTAAATTTAGTAATGCCTAAAAAATAGATATTATTTTTTCTACTCTCAAGAATACATTTTAACTCAATTCTACCAATTTTTAGGCTGATGGTTTTTTCCCTTAATTGTTTTTTTTTTTTAAATCTATGATACGAAAAGAATATTAGAGTTATTATAAATGCAGAGAAAAAATTAATTTCAAGGGGGGCCTTAAACAATTTCCTAAATTGCCTAGGGCTTCAGCTGCTAACCGCAGTCTCCTGTTTCTAATTTTGTTGTTAATATGTTTAGAATTTCATCTGGTATCTTTAGGAAAATCCCAAACATATATGACGATAGTATTCTTAGATATTATAGTATGTGTATTTGGGACTCAAATTAGTTGTCTAATTTTTAATATCAAATCAAGAAAAAATTAGTAAAAAAGATAGTTCAATTTTTTTAATGATGTGACACAATTTAATTGATTAGATACTATTTTAAACAACAAAATTAAACGTGTAATTTGAATCGGTATATTTGCGTACATGACGTCGCAATATTACTATTGAAAAACAAAAGTCTCGTGATGACTATACTATTAGAATATTCATTTGGTATCCTTTTGGAAAATTGTATATTTGTGACAGTACATGGTTTTATGTTCTATACACAAATATTGTCATTTGGCATTATTATTTAGAGAAAAAGATATGACTACGCACTCCCTTTATTAATTTTAAAATTTTCCAATTTTGTAGGGATAAGGAACTTGTGAAAAGAATTGGTGCCGCAACAGCCCTGGAAGTTAGAGCTACTGGCATTAATTACGCATTTGCACCATGCATTGCGGTATTATATATTTATTCCAATATTGCCCTTCTTTTTTAATTTCTTTTGTTTTTTGGGAAATTTAGTTATAATTACATTACTGACCATTGTGTATATTTTAGGTGTGCCGAGACCCCAGATGGGGTAGATGCTATGAAAGTTATAGTGAGGATCCCAATGTTGTGATAGAAATGACTGATATCATTCTCGGATTGCAAGGTGAGCCACCCGCCAATGCAAGAAAAGGTGTTCCTTATCTTGGTGGGAGGTAAGTGTATTTTTGAAGACGTTCAAGCGATTTTGGCATGTCAATCGTCCGATTATGTCGTTACGTAAAAGACGTTATCTATTAGCTACCGTAATTTACTTAAGATAAACTTAATTCAACTTATTTAGATTGTGGCAAAGTAGACGAGTGACGACGTGGAGTAGAATAGCAGGATACCAATTCTGATACCAACTGTGATTCTATCTATTTAATGACATAATCTCACTTTTAATCGTTTAATGGTTCTTCACTTTTTTTTTTTTTTTTTCCTTTTGATACAACACCGAATCAAACTTGCACTCTCTTTCCATCCCACCAAAACTCCCAGTGCCACTAGACCAACCGGTCTTAGGCAGTGGGAGGTAAGTTTACTTCTTAGAGTCTTGCACTTTCTGTCCATGCCATACAGCTAGAACTTGAAAAAGATTAAAAAAGAAAAAGTAGAGTTCTAAGAAATTAGTTTTTCAAATGTATTACAGTTTGAAAAGATTGGATTGGAATGACAAAGAGCTTTGAACTTCCTGATCTCTATTACTAAATTTGTTATTTTTATATATGTCGAAATTATAATGAAGGGATAAGGTAGCAGCTTGTGCTAAACACTTTGTGGGAGATGGAGGAACCACCAAGGGCATCAATGAGAACAACACAGTGATTGATTGGCATGGATTGCTAAGCATTCACATGCCTGCCTATTACCACGCCATTATTAAAGGTGTAAACACTGTCATGGTTTCCTATTCCAGTTTGAATGGCAAAAAGATGCATGCTAATCGCGATCTCGTCACCGGTTTCCTCAAGAACACTCTTAAGTTTAGGGTATGTATGCAAAGAAAAGAATGGTGGAAGTACATGATTAATTATGTAAAAGTTTCAGAAATAATACTTGAAAAAAACATTGTAACATATAATAATTTCTTTTGTACATGAAAATTGCAGGGCTTTGTAATCTCTGACTGGCAGGGAGTTGACAAGATTACCGACCTACCCCATTCAAATTACTCTGATTCACTTCTTGCTGCTATTCAAGCTGGAATTGACATGGTTTGTCGGTGCACATAAACATCTCCACCATTTTATTTCATTTTTTGTCATTTTTTAGCAACAGATTTAAGCTTTACACTTTATAAAATTCGGTCACAAGACACAAAAAAAGATGTACTAATTAAATTATTGATTCCTCAGAATCAACTGCTGAATATGAAAAGTATGCACTGCTTGCTTGCTTGTTTGTGTTGTATTTTCAGGTTATGATTCCTCACAACCATACAGAGTTCATCGATATTTTGACTGACCATGTCAACAACAACCGCATCCCAGTGAGTCGTATTGACGATGCAGTTCAGAGAATTTTAAGAGTAAAATTTGTGATGGGTTTGTTTGAAGAGCCCTTGGCCGACCAGACCTTTGTGAACCAGCTTGGAAGCCAAGTAAGTTGAACTTATATATATATATATATATATAATTATATATACATGTATATATGCCTTGTTAATATGGTCATAATACAACAACTTCGTGTACATATAGCTGATGAAAAGTTGTGTTAATTTATAATGGATAATATAATAGGAACATAGAGATTTGGCAAGGGAAGCCGTGAGAAAGTCACTTGTTTTATTGAAGAACGGAGAAACTTCAGATAGGCCTATCATACCACTTCCAAAGAAGGCTTCTAGAATACTCGTTGCAGGAACCCATGCCAACAATCTAGGATACCAGTGTGGTGGTTGGAGTCTCACTTGGCAGGGATTTTCCGGCGACAATCAGACGATTGGTACGTCCGTCCTTATACATCGATATCCATCGTTTTACTTGCTAGAAAAATGCTATGGCTGTCTTTGAAGTTGTTTTTATTTTTGTTTTTTACGTTTTTCGACAAAGAAAAAATGAAAACGGGAGAGAAACGGCATTTGGCACAATTAAAGACAAAAAAACAGAAATGAAAACGATTTTTTGGTTTAGTGTAAAATGAGAGAGAAATGAAAAATGACTTTTAGTCAGTTTTTCATTTTTTATTTATGTTTTCTCCTCTCTCGAGTAGAGAAAGAGGGAGAGAGACATTAATAGATTTTTTTATACTGAAAATAATCTCTTAATAAAACTACTAAATGCATTTTCAAAAATGATTTTTGTCTGATATTTAAAACTTTTTCATTTTTATTTTCATACAAAAAATAAAATCATTTTAAAACAAGTTCGCACCCTATATATACATCCTATCTGGCTTGTATATGTATGGTAATATACATCACAGGACGTGTTGACATACGTGACATTAATGAACCTGACCCAAGTTTAAAGCTTTGAGCAATATTATAACCTAGCTATCACTAGCATTCATTATCACCATTTTTGTCTCTCTTTCTCTGTCTCTGGCATTTTTCTTGATCTTTAACTATCATTTGCACTTCGCAGAGATGCTATTGTCAGTCAATTCTACTTATGTTTTCATTTTTTTTCTTTTGAAACAATAAAAAGAACGAAAATAGTTTAATATGAAAAGCTTAAGAAAGTATATAGACCAATTTTTAGTTATAGAAATTAATAGGCCATAACTTGTCAAGTTATGGTTCATAACCAAATAAGTTATGGATAAATTTGTCAAGTTATGGTTCATAGTCAGACAAGTTATGGACTAAAATCGTCAATAACTTGTCAAGTTATGGTTTATAACCAGACAAGTTATGGAAAAAAACAGTAATTTGGCCTATTTATTAACTTATGTAAACTATTGGCCTATTAATTTTAATTCATCTCAAGTCTTGGTCTATTTTCTTCTTTCTCCCTAAAAAGAAACCTCTTGTGGCCCTTATAAGCAGCATAGAGTATATATAGGTACCCGTTATTTCACCGATTTGAGTTTAGAATTTGAGTTTTACTATAGTAAAAAACTTTCAGAAACAGTCACATCTAATTTTTTTGCTACAGTAAAAAGCTCTCACATAAAATCACATTTCAACTCGAATTATAAACCCGAATCAACGAACTAAACGGCTTTTAGTGTCATACATTATGTAACACCTCTAGAAGGAATTGTGAGCTAATTCCATCAATATTTTATTCCCAAATATGCTATCTAGATGTAAATATTCTATGATTGATCAAAACAATCAATGCATGTATAATTACTTGTACCAAATAAATAACTTTATTTTACATATGCCAATTAACAGGATCCACCATACTAAGCGGCATAGAAGAAGCAGTAGACCCAAGCACAGAAATATTATACAGCGAAAACCCCGATCCCGCATTCGTCAAGTCAAGCAACTTCTCTTACGCCATTGTCGTCGTCGGAGAGCCACCATACGCGGAGACAAACGGCGACAGCTTGAACTTGACGATTGCGGAACCCGGCCCGAGCGTGATCGCCGACGTCTGTGGCCAAGTGAAATGCGTCGTCGTCTTGGTCTCCGGCCGTCCTCTTGTCATTGAGCCTTATCTTCCGTCGGTCGACGCCTTCGTCGCCGCGTGGTTGCCGGGCTCCGAAGCCGGTCACGGAGTGGCCGACGTCCTCTTTGGGGACTATGGATTCACCGGAAAGCTCTCCATGACTTGGTTCAGGACTGTTGATCAGCTCCCTATGAATGTTGGTGACGCGCATTATGATCCGCTTTTCCCATTTGGCTTTGGACTCTCAACTGTTCCGATTAATGCGGGTCTAGATTAGTATGCGAAGATATTTTAATTCTGATTCTAGGTATATAATATAAGTTCGTAAAAAGTTTGAAGTTTTTGATATGTTTTTCTTTCGTAATATGTTTATTGCAATTTCTAACCGCAGATGGACGGTGATATATATACCAGTATATTTGATCTTTTTGTATTGCCTCGTCTTTTTTTTTTTTTTTTTCCTTTCTAATGAATGGATGGTGGGTTTTAACGATGATTTTATCACTAAAAAATATGTGAAAGAATTATTGCTTTGACTAATTATTTTGATAAAACAGCAAATTAAACGTAATTTAACTCAAACCTTAAAAACTCATTCCCTTACCCCCGCCACCATGCCCCACTACCTTTGTTAGCCTCGGATATAAAATATAAATTAGGGAAACGATTTTATTTTATGATCACTAATGTATTTATGCAGATCTAAACTCATAGTAAAGAGGCTTGATAAAGTTAAAAATAATTATCAGAAATAAAATATAATCTTAATCATTAAATATTAAAGATGAAATAGACGTTGATGGATAACTATATAATTCACAAATAAAACATCCTAATCTAGCTAGTTCTTCATCAAGCAACTGTTTGTCTTTCTATTTCATACTTTTCTTGCTAAAAAAAAAAAGGTAAAAAGCAAGAAGGAATTCCAGATAGCATCTGAAAGGAACAAGTAATGATCAATATAAAATAATTTTTTTTATAGAAAAAATAGACGATGATTGTTTGTGAAAATATTCTAACTTTTAAGGTTTAAGTTGAATAATTTAGTATCACAGTGAGAAAAATAAGAGTTTGATTTTGAAGATAAAAATGGTTTTATAGCATATAAATTGTGCATCCATAATATATATATATATATATATATATGTACCCACGCCATAATGTTAAAGGAAATGAATATTCATCATTAATGTAGAAAGATTCACAGTCCACAGATTCCTATATCCCTCCCACTTGTCTTATATATATACATATATATATATATATATATATATATGTCAAACCCAATTGTCCATTGCATACGACAAAAGTTTAATATATATATATATATATATTTATATATAGTTGTTCTCTCCCAATCTCATCACACAACCTTCTCCGTTTCAAAGCAATAGAAAAAAGGAACTTGATAGTTTAACTAGTCGCAATTGAGAGACCAATATTAATAAATAATCTTGGGCTTTTCCTCTAGAAACACTTGGGATGCATGCATTTTGCATTACACTTGGCTAAGCGGCCTAGCACTATTATTTTCTGAATTTCGGTGGAAAGGGATGTTTATATTTGTGACTTTAAAATAGAAATTGAACCGCTTAACTAAAAATTAAAATATGTGATTATCAGTTCAGTTTATAATAAAGTCGGAATGCATGGTATAGACAATTAAATTATATTATGAATTATAATATATTATATTATGAATCACCTAATTATATTATGAATTATATTTATATGTATGAGAAATACATATTATCATATGATTTAAACATGTGAGGCCCACACAAGTTGGCAACAAGGCAGCAACTTAATTGTAAGCAGTAAGTCTTCTTTCACCAACCAATGAAAAAAAAAAAAAAAAATTTATAAAAAAAAACTTTTTCTCCCCCCCAAAAAAAAAAAAAAAAAAAAAAAAAAAAAAAAACCTATACACACTGAATTTCTCCCCCAAGTCCTCCTCCCTTAAATATAAACCTTACTTCCCGTCTCCAGTTGACTTACTAGTTTGGCAACAGTAAACCTTGTAGTCATGGCCACCGCACCTTCTTCCCCGAGCTTGTCGGTCCCTGACTGGCTAAACAAGGGCGACAACGCGTGGCAGATGATCTCGGCCACGCTGGTAGGCCTGCAAAGCGTCCCGGGGCTGGTCATCCTGTATGGCAGCATCGTGAAGAAGAAGTGGGCGGTCAACTCGGCCTTCATGGCGCTCTACGCCTTCGCGGCCGTGGTAATCTGCTGGGTTACCTGGGCCTACAAGATGTCCTTTGGCGAAAAGCTCCTCCCCTTCTGGGGCAAAGCCGGGCCAGCCCTCGGCCAGAATTTCCTAATCTCCCAGTCCAAGCTCCCTGCAACGACGCACTACCACTCCGATGGAGTGACGGTGGAGACGCCGATGGTAACGCCTTATTATCCGGCAGCGACAATGGTGTGGTTCCAGTGCGTGTTCGCGGCGATCACGGTTATTCTGCTGGCGGGATCGGTGCTTGGGAGGATGAACTTCAAAGCGTGGATGATGTTCGTGCCGCTTTGGCTGACGTTCAGCTACACCGTCGGAGCATTCAGCTTGTGGGGCGGCGGATTCTTGTTCCACTGGGGAGTCATGGACTATTCCGGCGGTTACGTTATTCATCTCTCCTCCGGGATCGCGGGCTTTACCGCCGCTTTCTGGGTTAGTAATAGTACCTACTTTATATATTTTATAAGTTTCTTTCTTTGTATGTTGATCATTTTTCTATATTGGAAAACGACAAACAAAACAAGAAGTTGAGAAAATACGTTCACATGGAGGATATGGTAAGATCCGCAAAGAAATTAAGGTAGAAAAATTGACTCAGTGATTCATAAAAATACGTACTTTTGAAAGTATAACATGAAGTTTAATTGGGTAGGTAAGTAATCAAGGTGAATATGTAATAACGGAGACGACTACTTTCAGCAGAAAACAGAGAAAGGATGATATAGATGACTTCGTTGACTTGTACAGTACATTTTCCTTCTATTTCCAGTTCTTAGTGTTATGATTTTTCTTTAGAGAGTTTCTTGGGCCAATTCCTGATAGTTGGCTCTAATTAAAATTAAATCAGATTAAAAAAATATATAAAACGGACTGTTTTTAATATAGATCTGACAACTAAAAATATAAATCTTTTATGTTCATTTTTTTAGGACCTACTAGATACACTCTCTTTTATTTTATTTTATTTTATTTTTTCAAACTTTCTTTAGGATGATCGAGTGGTGGAAAATTTTCATGTAGCTAGCGCTTTATCTATGATAATTAAAAATATATATAAAACGGACCGTTTTTAATACAGATCTGACCATTAAAGATATGAATCTTTTATGTTGACCTACTAGATCTCTTTTATTTATTTTTTTTTTTTCAAACTTTCTTTAGGATGATCGAGTGGTGGAAAATTTTCATGTAGCTAGCGCTTTATCCGTGATGCATTAAGGTAGTGGGTGTTAATTTTGCACTACTAAAGTCTAAAGAAAGTGCGTCCTCTAATTTTTCTTTAAAGTCGCTATGAAATATATAAGAAAACTTATTTTCTTATGTAATCATGAGCTAGAAAAAAAGGAAGAAAGAGAGAAATAGGCCAAGACTTGAGATGAATTAAAATTAATAGGCCAATAGTTTACATGAGTTAATAAATAGGTTAAATTACTATTTTTGTCCATAACTTGTCTGGTTATGAACTATAACTTGACAAGTTATTGTCCATTTTTGTCCATAACTTATCCGGCTATGAACCATAACTTAATAAGTTTGTTCATAATTTATCTAGTTATGAACCATAACTTGACAAGTTATGACCTATTAATTTCTATAACTAAAAGTTAACCTATATACTTTTTTAAACTTTTCATATTGGCATATTTTTTACTATTTCCGTGGAAAAAATTACGTGAATGCATGACTGTTCCCAACGGACATCAAGATAATTATAACATATTATCAAAGTACACAAGTGGTTCGAAGAAAAGTCAAAAAATAAACATGTTAAACAAATTAACATTTACAGTCTGTTTTATCCTCTCTGCACATTTACATATGAACATTAATTAAGCAAATAAAAAATTAGTTAATTCTGTCATGATTCATGAATAATTGCCTTTGACTTTAGCCGCATGTAAATATTATATACATATGAATATACCTATATATATATAATAGTTAACAATTGGATGGATTTATATACACGTAACTTTTTAAGAATGATATCTAGGTAATATAAAAATGAGTTGTGGTAAATTTTTATCGATTTCTGTTAAATTATCATTTTTTTAATGTTCAATAAAAATATTAAGTGTCCAATTTCCAACATTTACTGTCTTATATCAAATTAAATCTAAATGAATTTACAAAACCAAAAAGTCTTTTCTTAAGCAATCAAAACAAAAAAGTCTTTGTCACATTGCGTAAATATGATTACATGCATGATATATTTGACTTAAAACCGTGGAAGAGGGCTTTTGGGAAGTTGTATAATTCAACATAAATTGTGTATATTTATATGTAAAGATGTACAATTAAGTATAAGTCTTGTATATTTACACGTTGTACAGTTCAGCATATGTCTTGTACAATTTAGTATATGAAAGTTGTACAATTATAAATATGTATAAGTTGTATGACAAGTTGTATAATTCATCACATGTCTTGTATATTTACATATGATAGTTATACAATTCAACATAAATCTTATATAATGTCTTCCGCCGAATCAAATAGTACATGCCGGATGGAAAACATTTCCTAATAATATATATGTGTGTGTGTGTATATATATATATATATATATATAAACAACTCTTCAAAGAACAAATATGATGCTTGTATAATAAAATGATGAAAATGGGCAGGTGGGGCCCAGAGCGAAGAAAGACAGAGAGAGATTCCCGCCAAACAACGTATTGTTGATGTTGGCGGGGGCAGGGCTACTGTGGATGGGATGGGCAGGATTCAACGGTGGAGATCCCTACGCGGCCAACACGGACTCATCTATGGCCGTTCTTAACACCAACATCTGCGCTGCCACCAGCCTCCTCGTATGGACTTGGCTTGATGTCATCTTCTTTAACAAGCCCTCAGTCATTGGAGCTGTCCAAGGAATGATCACTGGCCTTGTTTGCATCACTCCTGGCGCAGGTATGTATGCATGTACGTATATATATATATATATATGAATATCATCCAAAAATAATAATAATAATAATAATAATAATAATAATAATAATAATAATAATAATAATAATAATAACAAAAGGAAACGGAACGGAGCACCAATATTGATAAAGGATCATTTTCTTTTGACCTGAAAATAAGGATCATAAACTTTTAGGTGTGTACTGGTGTCCATTCATAAATAAAGTTGGAATTTCGAGAAATAAAGTTGGAATTTTTAAAATTAAAAAAAAAACTGAGAATGAAAATGAACCCTAAACTTTAAGGTCCGTTCACTTCGCTAATTCGAGTTTAGAATTTGAGTTTTTTTACAGTAAAAAGCTCTTACAAACAATCACATCTAACTTTTTTGCTACAGTAAAAAACTCTCACATAAAGTCACATCTCAACTCAAATTCTAAACTCGAATCAGCGAAATAAACGGGACCTAAGTGTGTACTTGTGTTTATTCATAAATAACCTAGCTATTTGTTACTAAATATATAGGTCTAGTACAAGGATGGGGAGCCATAGTAATGGGAGTAATGTCCGGAAGCGTGCCATGGTTCACCATGATGATCATAGACAAGAGGTGGAAGCTCTTCCCCAAAATCGACGACACCCTCGGCGTCTTCCACACGCACGCCGTGGCCGGCCTTCTCGGGGGCCTCCTCACCGGGCTCTTCGCCGAGCCCCGGCTGTGCTCCCTCTTCCTGCCCGTCACCAACTCCCGCGGAGCCGTCTATGGCGGCTCTGGGGGTGTGCAAATCTTGAAACAGCTCGTGGGCGGGCTCTTCATTATTGGCTGGAACTTCGTCGCAACGTCAGTTATTTGCATTGCGATAAAGACGGTGATGCCGTTGAGGATGCCGGAGGATCAGCTGCTGATCGGCGACGACGCTGTGCATGGCGAGGAGGCCTACGCCTTGTGGGGTGATGGTGAGAAGTATGATTTTTTGAAACATGAGATTTTCTCGGATGACAATTCACAACCTCGTCAGTACCCTTCAAGTGGTGCTACTCAAGTGGTCTAATTGGAGACAGATATATTTGATTAACTAGTTCATTTCAGGCATTAGGATTTGGGGTTTGGTTTTAAAAAAAAAAAAAAAAGAAAGAAAAAAAAATTCTACCTTTGTAATATGTTGGTTTGCGTGATAGTAATTGTTAAGAGGTACTTGAATGTGAATTATGCATTGATGGGAAAGTCTTCTGGAAACGAGAGTTTTTAATTTACTAAGGAAACTACTGATAATAATTCTGTTCTTTTACATTTGTTTTCTTTTCTTGTCTTTTGATCTTCTGGCCTTGACAAAAAAATCCGATTGGAATCATCGTACATCCGATTGGTTCTGCTTGTTCTTGTGTTTTCTTGTTATATTGGATTGGCTTTCTATTTATAACAGTCTTGAAATCATCGTCGGCAATCATCAGGCAAATGTATGGTATGAAATTCCTCACTGCACATAAATATCAAAAGAAATCATCAACTTTGGCTTATCCATCAACCAATAATAACAAGTTCCTTTGCGATAAATGCGGCTGTAAAGGCTGCAGCAAATATGTTTTGGAATGCTGATTTCTATCCAAGATTGATTAGTACCAAAATCATATCTCTCAGCCATCGAACCATTACAATCACATGTGATTCTAACAAACTTGTACTTGTTGGCTCTAGAATCACCAAGAATCAACAGATTAATATGCGGAAGCGTACCTGAATCCATAACAATCAATTACTCTCTAGAGTCGTGCTGTATGTCTTTCAAATCAACACATTCTTTTAGAGAATCCTTTAATTTTCTCTCACTTTCTCTCTGATAATGTAATGTCAGAAAAGAATAGAATGAAAATACGTGTGATCTGAGGAGCATAAGCACTATATATATAAATAATTTCCTTGTTATCTTTTAGTATTTCTATTTTAGCTCATCATAAAAATAAAAATTACATTTAAGTCTCTACACATTAAAGACTCACACCCTATTATATACATTAAAGTTCAAATTACCCAAACTTTAGTAGACCACTTTAAATAAACTTAACCTTATACGACAGTCTACAACACATAATTATTCACATATAAGCCCAATATTAGATTAAGGATCCAACACTGGAATCCCAACCAAACCCCGAAACTAAGGAGACGTTTGGTTCATGGATTAGAATCATAAGATTAGATTTACGTGTATTTTTGTGAGAGAAAACACTGTAGCGAACCATGAATCATAATTCGAATCGGGATACGAATCCTCTAACCAAACAACCCATAAGATATCCGCAGGGTCTGATAGTGATTCTAGGACAAATGTTTCGTACTCATGCAGCGCTGGATTGTACAAAGCAATTTTCTCATCTTCTTTAGTAAGGCAAATGATCCCATTACAATGGTTAGCCTCCAGACAAAAAACCGAATTCAAAATAAAAGGATTTGCCCTTCTAGCTAAAATGCATCTAGCGGTAAATTGAGGTCTTATATCACGCAGTGGATCCTCTCATCCCTGTTACCGCTGTCACTAAAAATGTTAAGCAACAAAACACCTCTCGAGTTTCTAAGAGGACGGAAGCCAAACATAAAAAAGGATGTGGGGGAAGAGACGTCGGCTTCTGAATAACGGAGACCCCGAAATAAATATCACTCATCCTTGTAATATTTGGAAGACAAGGTAAATTTTTGAGAATTAATATCACTCGAAATAAATAATGTAATTATTTAAATTAATTCATTTTGAAACACACTGCGGTTGGGCCACAGAGAGAATCTCTATGGGTTTCGATTGCTTGCTCTCCAAGACATTCTGTTTACTTGTTTTACATGTTTTTCAATTAAATTCAAAAGGGAATCAAAGTTTGACTTTATTTAGTTTTGAATTTGAGTCAAAATTAGAAACTGGATAAAAGGAGAAAGTTATCTCTTTTTCCTAGTAGAAGTAGACGCTAATTATAGGGAGATATCCCATATAGTGGGCCGGCCATACAAAGATAAGGAAAGAAAGAAATTTTATTTCTAAAATTAAATGAGAAACTATGGGCCCGTTTAGTTCGCTAATTCAAGTTTTTAATTTGAGTTGAGATGTGACTTTATGTGAGAGCTTTTTACTGTAGTAAAAAAGTTAGATGTGACTATTTCTGAGAGCTTTTTACCGTAGCAAAACTTAAATTCTAAACTCGAATTAGTGTAATGAACGGGGTATTTTCAATGAGATTTAAAATAAAGTGATAACCAATTATCTATTGCTTTGTCTTTAAGTTAAAGCAAAAGGATCCTCCGATATAAATAGGAGACAATAGAAAATTAGAGAATACAATTTTCTCCCTTCCCCTATGAGATAGGCATGTAACATAGCTCTTACAGGCATGTGACATTTTGTTTGAGAGCGTGTAACATTCTAGTGATGTTGTGAAACTAGAGAGAAGAAGAGAAGAAAAGTTCTTCCATTCTCGGTTCCACCTCATACCTGTGTTGATATTGGTAGAAGAAAAATTAGCGAGTGATCAATCCTAAAATTCTAAATTAGAGCCCACACTCTAAGTCTTGCAGGTATTAAGGACTTAACGAGGAAGATTCGGGTTTTCCTAGAAAGCTTGGACGAGGATTGTTCGTAGTCAAAGAACTCAAGTTATCGACCTAATCGTTCGCAACGTAATACATTAATTAGATTAATTTATTCACGTATAAATTAATATAATTTATATTATACATGATCCGTAGATACATGCTTCCGGATCTAAAATCGTTTCAAAAATCAATAGACTCTCTCCTCATTTTGGAAATATTTCCTACAAAAACGAGTAACCATGTCCTCCTAAGTTCTAATGGAGCCAGGAGCTAAGGTAGTGTACCATGTGTATGCTCCGTCTGTGAGGGACTTGGAGAACTCTCGGAGGCGATGATCGCGATCTCCAACATGCTTGCCGAGACCATCAAGGAAGCGGCTAATGTGCTTTTTCAGGTTCCCTTTGCGGCCGTCGAAGAGCATGAAGGAGGGAGTCTCATACCCTGGAGGATATGGCTTTTAGTAGAGCTCTGAAGGATAAGGAGGCTGAGGCAAGTACCTAGCATCCTCTGGAGTGACGTCGTGACCATGCTACTCCAAGATGGCAAGAACGTCATTGCGAGTAAGCAACGTGTCGAAGGCTTGCTCCGAAGGCTTGGGTGCTCCAACAACAGAGGCTTTTTGCGGAGTGGTGTCTTTAGCGAGACCCGTAGCAGGGTCTTTTTCAAGGTGCTCTCGGCGTGACTTCACTTCGGAGAGGATTTAATGTAGCATTTATTAAGTAAATTCATTATTCACGGCGCTTTTAGTTGTAAATAAAGGATTTACCTAGTTAATTCGTCATTTATCATGCTTTTTATTGGTAAGAAAGGATGTGCCCTGTAAATTAACTATTAAACTAAATTATTAGCTTGTATCTAAAAGACCTCAAGAATAACTTGTAAATGATGGATTTACCTAGTACATTTTTTATTTATCAAGGACATATGCGAAGTTTTTTAAAAATTAGGTTAAAATACAATTTTTTTAAAAATTAAAAGGTCAAAATATAATTTATATAAATTGTAAGGGTTAAAATATTATTTTTTTCTTAAAGATTGCCTGTCCATATTGCGGAGAAGAAGAACAATAAAATAAAGTTTGGAGAGGAAATAAGATATGAGTAAAATTAAAACACAACATACTGAAATTTTTACTGAAATTTTAAAATTTGCTATATACTCTTACTATTTTAATTTATGTTCTTTACCAAAAACGGTTTAAAAAAATTGGCCTGTATAGTACAATTTCTCTTAAATTTAATTTATTTCTAATTTTTTGAATTTTATTATAAAACTTGGAAATGATCAGTTCTTAAAAAAAAAAAAAAGGGGTTATCTCACTTTGTCCTTTATAATTTAAAATCACACAAAATTGTTCCTCAAGCTTAATATGAAAGGCAATAATGGTACTTTCATCACTGAAACCTTAATTTTATTTAATGATTTTAATTACACGTGTTCTGCGAGTCTAGTTGGTAAAACCATAAAAGGCAATATAAGGGCCCGTTCGGTTCGTTAATTTGAGTTTTTAATTCGAGTTGAGATGTGATATTGTGTGAGAGTTTTTTACTGGAGCAAAAAAATTAGATGTGACTATTTCTGAGAGCTTTTATTGTAGTAAAACTCGAATCAGTGAAAAAAACGGGGCCTAAGAGTGCGATGACAAGGTGGACGTTACGAGTAAAAGAGAAGGTAACACTTAAGGTTAGAATGAGATCAAAATTTGTGGTTTTTTTTAAATTATTTTTTAGAATTTTCAATTATATTTTATTTTAATCAATTATGTTACCATTTCAAGGAATCACGTGACACACACATTATTAAAACTGTTAAAAATTGAAATCTCATTGATGGAAGTAACAAAATTGTGACTTATTTTAAGCTCATGAAGAATATTTTTGTCATTTTGAGATATAAGGAGCAAACTAAGACAAGCACTATTCTATGGAGGCTAAATTTAAAATTAACCCTTTACTTTATTCCTAAAGGCTTGGATTTTACAAAAAAAAAAAAAAAAAAAAAAAAAAAAAAAAAAAAAAAGGAAAAAAAATTAGGAGAATTTACGAAGGATTAATTTCAAAATTACTATTTTTTTTTTCTTGACGTAACTGAATTTACCAAGACAAAAAAGTTCACTCCCTATAATTCGCAAATTGCATCAAAAACAAACTTCGCAGGGGTTTAAATAAAATAATGGCTTTCTTTATTACTGGGCTGTGGCAAACCTGCCTGTAATGTGTTTCCTTTCAAAGAAAAATAAAATAAAAAAAAATAACAGAGAAAAGCACCATGGTATTAAGGGGACGTTTGGTTCATAAATTCAGAACTATGATTCAAAATCATTCTCGGTTTACATGTATTTTTTTTGAGAGAAAACACTATAGCGAACCACGAACCATGATCCAAATTATGGCACGGATCCTTGCTCCAAACGCACCCTAAACAATTTAGTTACCTTTTAAGGGGTCCAAGAGGAATTGCCTAGTTTATGAAATCTACATGGAAAACAAATTGAAACTTTCTCCAACATATTGACTGCCTCGATCCATTAAATATGTGTGTGTGTGTGAGGTTACCAAAAACTATATGCGTATAATTAGGCCTCGTTTATTTCACCGATTCGAGTTTTCAGTTTTAGGTTTCTACAATAAAAAACTCTTAAAAAATGTCACATCTAACTTTTTCTAGTACAGTAAAAAGCTCTCAAAAAATGTCACATCTCAATTCGAATTGAAAACTCGAATCCGCGAAGTGAACGAGACTTTATATACTCTTTTGGCAGGAGTTGAAGAAAATACA